GGGGCACCTGGGAAACGGGGGCTGGGAGATCGGTAGTGAGAGGGACTGCTGCTTGCTCAGTCTGAGTATCTGGGTGGTTATTCTTTAGCCTGAACCGTGGCCCCCTCGGCCACTGGGAGCAGTCTCAGCATCGGGGAGCACATCCCTGCTTTCTCGGGCAACTACAGTTATAGAAAACTCACATACCTCCAGCCTTAATTAGCAACCTTGCAATGGCCCCAACCCCACCCTTTTACTCTGGGTCAACAGACCCCACCCTTCCATTCTGGGCCAACAGTGGGAGTATGAGAGAAAGGAAGGACTAGGCAGGCAGCAGGCCAATTATGAAAGACAGAGTCTCACCTCGCTAGCCTTTTTCCATTTCAGAGCCCTCCTCCCCCTACATTAAATCTTAATGCATCTTATAATAAATTTAATTAAATAATTTTACTTCTCCAAGTAAAGGGATCTAGTGCATACACAACCCTGTCCGGCCTAACAGCATCAGCTGGGGCTCTAGTGCGGACTAAGAGACTTTACTACCCCAATTCCCATAAATAGAGCAAGCATTTGGGGTGGGGTCCCCAGGCTGTCCTGAGAACACTCAGCCTTGCAGAGGCTGCCTCTCCTGGAGCCCAGGAGGATGTGCCAGGGAGACTCTCAGGGCAGGCCAGGCAGCCAGCCCCTGCGCTGGGCTTATCTCCCTCAGGCAGCTGCAAGCTCCCGCTCCTGGCCGCTGCTCCTGCAGCACGTCTAACAGCCTGTCTCTCGGGGGGTGTGGCTATGTGTAGGTCTATGTGTGTGCGCCACGTTTGCCCTTGGATGGGCACAAAGGGACAGGTGTGTTTGGATGGAGAGATGTCTATCTCTGGTTCGGAGAGCCCCAACCTTCTTCCTTCCCTCCCTCTAGTGATGGAAGGGCAGCCCTCTGTCCTTCCTCCACTGATCCACTGTCCTCCCCTGAGGAGGATGATAGTGCCCGTGCTGAGGATATCCTGGGGCTGGAATGTTGTTCCTCTCTTTAAGAAACTCCCCCTGACCCATCCAGCCCTTACTGCCCCATGTCTTCCAGGGCAAAGGTGTGTAGGGCCGCCTGGCAGAGTACGTGGAGACACAACTGTCCCTCTCTTAGGCTGCTTGCACTCACCCAGTGCTGTCTCCCAGCCCCTGGAGCAGTGCATGGCTCTGAGCTTGTCTGTAAAGGTGTGTTGATGATGCAGTTGATGGGCCTGAACAGGGAAGCAGTGATGCACCCGCTTTTGCCACCTGGCCTCTCTCCCTTGCTGAAAACAAACTCATGCAGCTGGCCCTGGGGCTGACATGCCACTTCTGCCTAGGTCACCTCTGGCGGCATTATTCTAAAAGGTATAGGTGCACAACTACTTTGAAAACCAGTTTGGAATTACATAGTGAAGTTGATCAGGTATATACCCTGTAAGATAGAATTTCCATTCCTGGGAATGTACCTAGAGAAACTCTTGCACACATATACCAGAAGGCACATACAGAAGATTTTAGAATAGCCCCAAGCTGGTAACAACACGAATGTCCATGAACACTAGGATGGATATCAAATTGTCATATTTTTACACAAGGGAACACTATACAAGAAAAAAACTGACCAAATTACAGCTCTTTTCATTAATATGAAGAAATCTCTGCAACCTATACAATGATCCCACGAAGCAAGATACAGAAGAATATGTTAAGTAGGAGTCCAGTTGTCAAAAGTTTAAAAACACGCAATCTAAGCAATATTGTTTAGGGATACATACAGTGGTAGGAAACCATAAAGAAAGGCGAGAAGGGGATTGCCACTAAATTCAGGGTTGTGGTTCCTTTGGGGAAAATGTGTCGCGGAGGGGCACATGGGCTTCTAAGGAACTTGGAATAGTCTCCTTGCTGACCTGGGTGGTGAGTACATAGGAATTTGTTTTATTGTATTATTGTTCTTTGCACTGCACTGCATATGCATGTTACATACCTTTTGGTATATACCATACATTTAACACAAGGGAAAAAAAAGAATGTCGTGTGCCCCAACTCAGCTCCCTTTCTCCACCCAATCCCCATTCTTTTCCTCAGCTGACAGGAGAGGGGCCAGTGTCCCCCATCACAGTTCCTTTCCGTTCCTGAGTGGGCCAGAGGAATAGAAGAAGCGAGGGCCTCCCCTCTGCAGCTGGGTCCTGGCTACTCCAGGGTGAGAAGGCCTGGGGAAGGCAGGGCCAGGCGAGGCCGGCTGGCTCTGCTGTTCCTGCCAACTTTGGGGATTAGGCTAAGGCTCTGGCCCACCTGTTGTTTCACTCATTCAGCATGAACATAGCTTTCTGTGAGCCCTGGGTGCTGTTGGGAGGATTCAGATAAGTGAGAAATGGTCTTTGACCTCAAAGATCATGCAATATACTCAGAGGTGATCACATACACAAATAACTATGGTACCAGCAAAATGTGAGCAAAGTGTCACATGATACCTATTTACTCTTTCAATAAATATTTGTTGAGCCCCTATTATGTGTCAGAAGCCATACTGGATGGTGAGCATATAAAGGCAGTTAAATCACAATCCTGGCCCTTAAGTTCTTAGGCCAATGCAGGAGAAACAGACACATAAACAAGATAAATGTAACAGTGGGGCAAGCCCACCCATGTAGGTATACCCAGGAGGAAGGAGGAAGGGGCCCCAGTCAGTTTGGGTGGGATGGGGACAAGCAGCGAGGAGAGGTTGGAGAAGGGAGGTCTTCCTGAGGGCGGCAGCTCCTGAACTCAGGGGATGGGCCAGGAGGGCATCCTTTGCAGCGGGATCAACCGGGACAAAGGCACAGCAGTAAGAAACAGCACTGCAAATATTTGCAACTGAACACAAGTCCTCACAGGGATGGGGAGAGGAGCCGCAGGAGGGAAAGGTGGGAGCAGATCAGAGCTCCCACTTGCCTTGACAAATCTTAGAGCTTATAGGTGCTGGGAGCCCCTGAAGTATTTAGGGGGAGCTTGGTAGTTCACTTTCGCTTGGTATAGAAGAAGGGTAGAGGGGCGTGGATGGGAAGAAGGTAGGCAAATTGTCAGATTGTTGTGGATCCAAGAAATATTAGACAGGCTAGCTGTGCCTGAGAGTGTGTGTGGGGAGCGGGGGTATGAGAGAGACCAGCTTCGAAAACAGCTCTAGCTGGAGTGACCAGGTGGAGCACACAGGGAGGGGTGGGCTCCCAGCTGGAACCAGTGTGGCTCTGGGCTCTGGGTAATAGGGGGCACTAAATGTGGGCAGCCAGGGGACAGCCAGGAATGTGGATGGGACTCTGTAACATCTAATCTCAGGGCTCCCAAATTTTAGCCTGTGGACAAGCCTGAGAAAGTGAGGGGAATGTGGGTGGGTATGTCATGAGCTTCTTATAAGCCAAATGTATGCTATTTATTTAATTATTTTAGAGAGAGCAAGAGGGAGGAAAACATTGATGTGTGTTTATTTATTTTTTGGAGAGAGGGAGAGGGAGGAAAACGTTGATGTGTGCAATAGAAACAAGGATCAGTTGCCTCCTGCAACTGGGGACCTGGCCTGCAACCCAGGCATGTGCACCCACCGGAATCCATCATGATCTTTCGCTTTGGGGAATGGTGCCTAACCAACTGGACCACACCAATCAGGGTCAAATATATGCACTTTAAAGAACTATCCTTAGAAGTGTCTGCAATTAAATCAGTAAGTAAGCATATCACTTCGAGGCATGAAATGAATTACCAAAAGAAATCTCTTAAAGATTCAAGTGTATTTTGTTGTTGTCGTTGTTGTTTTTTGGTGAGGGGCTGGTGAAGCATCAAGAACAAGGGTTTTCTTTTCCTTTAAAAGGTTTTTAAATAAGCGTTTTAAATTATATTTTAAAACCCTTGAACATAAACACAAAATTAAGGGGAAAAATAACCCAATGGTCTTTGTTCTAGTTTAAGTCCTTTCTACCTTTTCTAATTTCTAAAAGTGGCCTTTCTTGTATGAAATGATACAAGATAAAGGATAGCCAGCCCTCCCCCGCGCCCCCCCTCCCCGCCCCCTTAGCGCTCTCATTCGGTAAAGCAAAAGGTCTTTGAGCCCGGAACAGCTCAGAGCACCGACCACGGCCCAGGGCCGCTCTGCGCGCCGGCAACCCCGCAGCCTGCCGGCAGGGGTCAGGCGAGCTCCATGCAGGGCCCGCGGAACCGCCCGAGCCCCGAGAGCCTGAGCAGCACTCTGCAGCGAGATGCCTGGGGGGAAGCAGCAGACGCAGGACCCTGAACCTACCTTAAACTGACAGTCGCAACTATCGGCCACCTGGGTCTTGGGTCAGGGTTCGGTTGGGAGTGACATGGAGTGTGAGCCCCTCACAGGCCCCCACACCTCATTTACACGAGCTCTGGCTCCACCCAGTGTCTGGGAGGGGCTGGTTGGTCTGCGGTTGGTTTGTTCACGTGCCCCTTGGCCGCTCACCCAAGTCTCTTGGATGGGCCCCATGTCCAACCCTGTCTCCAGAACGGGGTTGTCGTGAAGATCAAGGAGCTAATGTAAAAACGAGACTTGAGAGGGCTGTCATTAATAGATTATATGGGTTTGGAATTAGGACTTGGGCCTCTTGGGAAGCATCCTCTGGGCCCCAGATAGGCCAGTTCTGAAAGGTTACCTGTGCCTCAGAATTACCCCTGGAGATGGGACTACGTTTGGGGCCCATGAAAGAATCTGCATTTTCTTCTCTTTAAAACAGATTGCCAAATTCTCATAAAGGGTATGCCCAGACCACACTTGGGAGAACCATTCCCTTAGCTTCTATTACCATCCCACAGGGCAAGCAGTAGGAAAGCAGGGATGGTAGTCAACAGGGGAGCTTGAACTGATAGTGCAAACTGCCTAAAATTGGAGTGGAATTACAGGCAGCCCCAGGAAGGAGAAGGGTTGGCAGCTGATGCTGTAGAATTGCACAGTGGGTGTAAACAACTAAAAACTCCCAAAAGAACCAAAGTGGAAGGGCCCCCTGCTCTTCCATTCATGATTCAGGCTACACTTTTTTTTTTTTGGCTTTATTTTTAAACATATCTTTTTCATATACAGCATCAGGAGAACAATCAATTTTTCCCCAAGCTGGTGGCAGGCCTTGTACCTCAACTTCACTGGACGAAGAACCGCATTCTGAATGTGGTTCTAACTACACTTTAAACCCAACAAGACCACCATTTTAGCCACATCCATCAACATACCAGGAGGCAGAGTGGAGAAGTTAAGGGTCAGTGCCAACAAGCCCTGGGTCTTTCCCCCCTCACACTGGCGCTAGGCTTGGGTAGGTATGGAATAGCTCTTGGCTACAGGCCAGGACCAGAAGTCAGAAGAGGCATCGCTGGGCTGAGAGCCAAGAAAACTAGTTCTCTCTTTTAGAGAACTTAAATGGAACAGCCCAAACCTGGTCCTCCCTAAGCTGCATCCAGGCAGCTGTGCAGTGGGGCCCCCGGAGGGAATTTTCAGAATCCCCGTTTCTACTGCTCTTGATTCTAGCTCCAGGTCTGACCTTGAAAAAATCTGTCTTAATCTTTTAAAATACATGGAGATGGTTTCCAAAAATTTATGAGCTTCCTTCTAGCTCTAAGATTCTTACCACTTTGGGCTTCCAAATTCCTTTAAAAAATCCCCGGGAATTTGGAAAATGGAGGCTGAGAGCTCTTCTTTCCTAAGTGATGATTCCATCCATATTCCCCTTTCACCTGTGAGGAGACTGGAGGGCAGGAGCAGGACCCAGAGCAGCCACTAAGGACATGGGGCTAGAGCCAGACAGGAGGCTGTAGCAAGTCAACTGCTTCTCCCCCAAAACACCAATGTAGAAGCAGATGGGTCTGCTTCATAATATGTTTAATATAAAATGGCAGCAGCCGCTGTGCAGTTGTAACAAAATTAGCCACAGGGTGTCCAGAGAAATGTATGCAGGCAGCCTTGGCTGGAGTTGAGCCAGCCGACGCAGGCCTGTTGCCCGGTCAGCTGCGGGCTGTCACATGGCCAGGGCTGGGTGGTGGGGATGGCACTGCAGCGCTGAAGGACTCAGAGGTGCTGCCAGAAGCCAATGTCAGGCTGATCCTTTACAAGCACGCCGACCTCTGCCCCATTGTTGACTCTGGACGGCACACACGCTTTGAGATGCCTATTTCCAGAGCTCTACCCCAAGATGGTGGGATTTCAGCCCTAAAGAAGGAAGCCCTTGGAGGGATGCAGGGGCTGTGCCAAGTGGGTACCTGCTCATAAGCTGCTGGAGACTGAGGCCTCTAGAAATTGCCAGAAACAAAGGCTATGTTTTGGGATTTTTTCCCCCTCTGGAAGCGGACACCGATCAAGGAGATGAGCAGAGGGCTCCCTGCCAGATGCTCAGCCAAAAAAGAGGCTACTGGCTGCCCACCCCCACGTGACCACCCTGGGAGGTGGGTGCGTCAGGCTTGGCAGTTAGAGAGCAAGGGCACAGGGTCACCGAAGCCCATCCTAATAATCCCAGAAAAGCCACTGTGCTTCCTGCCGTGTCCATTTTAAGTCACTGAACGCATTTTCTGGGCTGGCTGGCTGGTCTGGCTCTGAGGCCCCCAGTGCTGGGCAGCCAAGCAGTAGGACTTGCCACACCTCCAATTCCAAAAAAGGCCTTTCGGTGCTGAGAAGAGGGGTGAAGGTCTCGGGGTTAGTGGAAGTCTGCGTTGAAGGCTCTGCCAATGACCAGTCGCCTCACCTCACTGGTCCCAGCTCCAATCTCATACAGCTTGGCATCTCGCAGAAAGCGGCCCATGGGAAAGTCATTGATGTAGCCATTGCCACCTGCAGCCGGGGTTTGGGCAGAGAAGTACAACAGGAAAAGTGATGGGCCGTGGGCAAAGCAGGGGAAGAAAGCAGAAGGGGAAGGATAAAGAAACAGGTAAGAGGGGGGACCAATTAAAGAGCACCAGTGACGGGCGGTGAGAGGGCAGGGTATGGGGAATACCTTACTTGGAAGGACAGTGGATGAGGGGCTGGAAGGCCACCCAGAGTGCAGAGGATGGCAGGCAGGCAGGCAGAGGGGAGGACCGCTGGCAAGCATGGAGAAGGGGGACAAGGAGATACTGCATAGCACTTACTGGGGGCTAGCACCAGAGGAGGGAAGTTGCACAAGTCACAAAGCTGGTCAGTGGTAAAGCGAGGAATTTAAACTCAGCCCATCTGGCTCAAGTCTGTGTAACTTTGAAACAAGGCTGTCCCATCTCTGAGGTATCTCTCTCCCTCTCAGCTTCCCCATGTCCAGAGGACTGGGTGGTGAGGGTGTGAGGGGAGTGTTGCCGAAGGCAGTAGCAATCTGTGGCCTCCAGCAATTTTCTCATTTGCTTTTCCATGTTCTCCTAATAACTGGGGCAGGAGCCTATGGGCGGGAGCCAGCCCAGCTGCAGCTAACTGGAGGTCACAGCGAGGGGGGAAGAGGGGATCCCCTTCTGGAGGCAGCCATGGGCTCTGGGAGCAAGGGAAGCCCGGGAGTGGGAGTGGGGGCCACTCACCGAAACACTGAATGCCATCCAGGGCCACCTGTGTGGCGCACTCAGCTGAGTAAAGAATCACACCCGCGCAGTCCTATGGGAGGAGGTCCCAGGTCAGCAGGGCCCAGCAACCCACCCGCTGCTTCCTTTTGGGCAGGCCTTACCTTGGCAGTGCAGTGGCCCTCATCACAGGCCTTGGCAACATTGTAGACGTACTGCCGACATGCCATAAGGCGGGTGTACATGTCGGCCATCTTCCCCTGCATCAGCTGGGCACACAAGGAGGTCATAAGTCAACATGCTAGAGCCACATTCCTCAGACACTCTCCCTAGTTACCAAAAGCAGATCAGCAGTAGCAACCTAAGAGCCAGAATGGGAATATCAGGGCACAGAGAGCAGACAGGACTTACTTAGGATGACAGAGATGGTAGCAGGTCTGGAGTTAAGGCCATAGGGCTGCCGCTGCACCCTGAAGTGGCCCCCACCCACCACCACCCTGATTAATGTCCTGCAGCTCTTCAGACCAGAAATGCCATTCCCTTTCCCCATGCCTCCCCAAACCTGCATGCCTCACCCTCCAACCTCACAATGCCTAGTTCATTCAACTCAAACAGGAAGTGAGGTGACATGTGATGAACTTCCGGACAACTTCCAAAGGCCAAATAGCAGGCTGAAGAAGACTGCATTCCAAGCACTCAAACTCATTTTGCTGGGGAAGGATAGTAAATGCCCCATAGAGCATTTCCTCTATATTCATTTGTTAAAGAAAACTTGAACCCAATGGAAGAGCACATTTCAACAAAGCATTCCACTCACCTGGAAGTGGCCGATCTTCTGGCCGAAGGCTTCCCTAGCGTGCAGATAGGGAATGGTGTGGTCCAAGACGGCCTGCATGAGCCTATGGGCAAGAGAAAGACATTGGGGCGGTGCCTCACTGTCCCCCAGCTGCAGCTGGAGTGGCAAAATGCCAGTGTAGAAAAGGCCTGGGGCAGGGGGTGGCAGCCCATTGAGACAAGGAGCTGGAGTTCTGGGGAGGAGAAAAGGAGAGTAAGGGCACTGGTTATCCCTGCTCAGTCGCTGCACTGATTGCACAGGGCTTATGCAGGGGTCCTGCATAGGGGGCCTTAACGCCTGGGTGTCCACTTTTCATATCCTGAGTAACTAAGCAGTATTGCTCCCCAGGCCTTTTGTCTTTCAACTAATCTTTCCCTTTATCATGAAGAAATTACACGGGGGAGAAGGAGGTTCTTCTAATCTCCAGGAGAGAAGGTGTACTGGCCAGGGGGTGGGTTCCCTTGGCCCACAAGGGGAAGGCTGCAGCTGCTGTTTGCCAGGGCACCGCTTGCCAAGGAGGCTGAAAGCCCAGCCCCATCCCTGAGCCCCACACTCACCCCACACTCACCCCAGGGGTCCACCAGCCAGCACCAGCCGCTCCAGGTCCAACCCACTCATCAGCACGTAGACACCTTTACTTAGATGGCCCAAAATGTTCTTAGCTGCCGGGAAAAGTGCTGGTCAGAGGGAAGAGGGCTGTCCACAGACTTCTCACTTTTATAAAAGCGACTAGGATTGGTACCACGGCTCTCATACGAGGCATTAAAATATGTCACCTGGCCCTGGCCAGGTAGCTCAGTTGCTTAGAGGTCCTCCCTTAAAGTGGGAAGATCTTTTTTTTTTTTCAATCTATGACTAAATCCCAGAAGCCACATGCGCACAAAAACAGTTGATATATTTAACCACCTTAAAAAGAAAACACTCCTGGCCCTGATTGAGTAGCTCAATTGGTTAGAGCGTTGTACTGATACACCAAGGTTGTGGGTTCGATCCCCATCAGGGCACATACAAGAATCAACCAATGAGTGCATAAATAAGTAGAACAAAGAAAGCAATGTTTCTCTCACACCCTCTTTAAAAAAAAAAAAAAAAAAAATCACCTGCCCTTCAATTAGGGTGCTTCTGGGTAAGAGAAAAGGATGGGAATTACCACTTTGAGTCAGAAGTATGTTTGCTAGACAGAACCCTACCCCCTACTATCCACAAGATCAGAGCAAGGCCCAGTCCTTAGGTTTTCTCCTTCTCCTCTTCCTCCACTGCCTTGGATGGGAAAGGAGAAAAGCTAATTTGGTCTAGAAGTCAGCCAAACCTTTCCTAGGTGTTCGTTTGTCTATTTGTTTTTTAAACACCTGTGTCCATGACTCTTTCCCCCAGGCTGAGCCTGCTCTGGTCCCATATCACCTGTCTTCTCCCTTCCAAAGGTGGTCCCTAGAAAAGTGACTGTCCAGGAGATGGGCCATTCAGTACTAGGGACAGAAACTGCTGAGCACCTCTCCACCCCAGAAGCCGGGGCCCTGGATGACCCTGGAGAGTTTTCCTGCTTACAAAGAAGGACCTGCCCTGTGCCCAACTCCTCCAATGCTTCTTTGTAGCACTTTTCTTGGAAGGCAGATCACGGCACTGAGGGGTTGGTCTACGGCTGAGGTGCAGAACAAACCTGGTTGGTGATCAAATCTGTGTCCTTGGTCTCATTAGCACATGAAGGGTATGCTGGCTCTCCCACAATGTGTCACATTTTCAGTTACACTTCAGGGGAGAATGTACTGAAACTGAACTGCCTTCCCTTCACACAGTCCAGCTTCCACCAGTGTATTTGGATGGTTTTTTAGCATTGTTAATGAATACCTCACACAGGCTGTACGGGGAAATGCACAAACAAGGACATTTGAAGGACATTAGCGGGCAAGGGCAGATCTTATCTTTCAATTCCAGATACTGGAATGCAACCCCAGACACAAGTGTGCTATCCACACGGGAAGCACCACCTTGGACTGCAGCCGGTCGGGCACACGGGGAAGACGGCTGCCCAACAGCCCCAGAGCCCCACACATGGGCCAGAGCAGTGGCAGGCCCACCGTCGAGCCACAAGTCAGTGGCAGGCTAACAATGGGGCGCCTCTCGAACCCAGAGATGGGCTTTCCCAGCTTCTGAAGGGGTCAGGACAGGGGCTCACCCTTTCTCAGACACTCACCAGGAACCTTGCAGTCTTCAAAGACTAGTTCACAGGTATTAGAGCCCCTCATCCCCAGCTTGTCCAGCTTCTGGGAGGTGCTGAAGCCAGGCATACTCTTCACAGAAACAGAAGGCAGCCTTGATTACAGAGCAGGCCCCAAGGGGGCCTAGCAAGGGAAGATCCCTGCAACACACCCACCTTCCCATCAAGTCCCAGCACTCGCACGGCACCCCGGAACTCCCCGCCCAGCGCCCCCACCAGTACACAGGCACTCAGCTCCGGAAGCTCCGGCCCTGGCATCCCGCCCCGGACCCCAGCCTTCTCCCTGCTGGCTGGCCTTCTCCCTGCTTTCCACAGGAGCACTTCCTTCTCAAATGCCTGATCCCTGGGGCCCTCCTGACCCTTCCTGGCTTTGTTTCCTTTCCTTAGGGAAATCGCTTCCAAGACATTCTCACCAGCCCATTCAATTCCTTCGGCCCTTTGTTCCTCAGCCATCTGTACCTAATTGAGTCCCAGCCGGGATCAATTCAACCACCTGTGCTGTGTGCTCTGACCTGGGCTAATCAGGCACACTGTGGTTAAGTACCAGAGGAGAACGAGTTCCTCCCCTCACCTCCTGGCTTAAGAGAGGCATTACACAACCTTGAGGTTTCAGATCTTAGCCAGGTCCTTTGGGCTACTCACTACTCTTGTCTGCCAGTCCTAGTCAGCTACTTTCCCCCTCTCCCTAGAGTATGAGAAACCTTCACGACACTAATTCATGGAACTGTCTACCCACTCCCTCACCCCGTGGTTCCCAGCCCTCACAGGTGTCCTGGCCTTCCACCTCAAGGTCACAAGGCAGATGTTCCTTCCCCATTACCTGTAACCAGCCTTACCTCTTCTCCCTCAGCTCTCCATTGTGTTTTGCACACATCTTAAGCTCTCCCTCTCCTATTTTCCTTAAACTTTCCCCCAAAATTTGCTCCACTGATCTCAGACTTGACCCATCCTTCCTAGACTCCACTTTTTGGCCACTCTCCTTTCAGTCTGCTCTTTTGCCTCACCTACATCCCAGGGAGCCTTGGCAGAGCACACAGGGTTGTGGTTTGGAACCAGCTGAAGAAATCTGTCTCTGGCACGACCGTCAGGAGACAAAGGCCTCCCACAGTGCACTACCCTCTCCACTCACCTTCTCCACGATGAAGGCTGTGATGCCCCGAGAAGCTGGCATGGCAGCCAGATCAGTCTTAGCATAGACAACAAGGACATCGGCATCAGGACCATTGGTGATCCAGAACTTGCTGCCATTCAGGATGTAGTAATCTCCTAAAAACAGGATCTCAGCTACTAAACACCGGCAATGTTGGCCCATCTCAGCCAGTCAGCCTCCAGACCTGCTAAGCAGGAAGCTGCCCAACTGGAAACAGTTCTGACAATTAGCAGAGGCCACCCACCCCCAATTACTGCTCCCTCACCCTGACAAGGTCTGTCCCGCTGTCCATTTCAGCCCCTAAATCATGAGAGGCCTCACCTTTCTTTTCTGCTTTTAGCTTCATGGAGACAACGTCAGAGCCAGCATTGGGCTCACTCATAGCCAGGGCTCCGATGTATTCACCACTGATCAACTGCAAAGGAAACCCCAGAGGGCCTGGTTATGACTTCAGAAATACCTACTGGAGCTCAGATACTTCTTGCCTGTTCATACGACACCCCTTCAGACTTCTCTCAAAGACTAGGGTATTGGTAAAGTCTTACAAGAGAAGTCCAGGATCTTCAAGGCTGAAAATACTTCTGCTTTTCCTATCCTCTTTGCATAGGAAGCAAGTCCTAGTCTTCAGTTTCTTTAAGTGCTCTCTGCAAATGTTGTCTAGTGATGAATTCAGGAGGTCTGGCCCTATTTTTAATTTTTTTGACTAAAGTATTTGAAAGCAAACCCCTATCCCTTCCTAATCATTCTAGTTCAGGCAGCATGCTACAGAAGGCAAGCTGGACCAGCTCTCGCCAAGAGGGGAGCGTGCCTTGGGGATGGTGGTTGTACAGTGAGAGCAGCGTGTGTTTCTCCATTCCCATCTCCTCACCTTGGGGAGGTACTTCTCCTTCTGGGCCTCATTTCCATTGCGCACAATCTGATTGATGCAGAGGTTGGAGTGGGCACCATAACTGAGTCCCACCGCTCCAGAGGCTCGGGATATCTCCTCCATGACCAGCACATGCTCCAGGTAGCCCAGGCCAGAGCCACCATACTGGACTGGGAGTGGAGGTTGTTCAGGGGAGCAGAAGAAACAGCCCAGATTAAACCAGGACATTGACAGGAACCTAACATTTATTGACAACAAAGTCTAAGTTCCCCCTAACAGTCAACAGGCTGATGCCATGGACTCTGCTTACAAGCACACAGAACTGGTTTTGCCAGCTGCCTCTGTCAGCTGAGGTGTGGTTCAGAAAACAGTCATTGCAATTTCCACTTTACCCCAGACAGACCTTTTCATGAAGAGAAGAGAACCTGAGTACAGGCTATTCTGAAAGTATAGGTGCAGAGGCAGATGACTAAAGAGGATCTGGAGTTTAACCAAGAAACACGAAGAGGGAAGATCAAAGTATGAAGAACAGATACAAAGCAAAGGATGTGTTTGTAAAGGCCTGAAGAAGGTGAGATTTTCATAGCATAGGTTTGGACTATCAACATGCTGTACACCTTAAACTTACACATTACACGTCAATTATATCTCAATGAGAAAAGTTAAAAGAATTAAAGAGAGACTTCTGGTCAAGATGGTGATGTGGGCAGACAGGGCTTGCCTCTTTGCACAACCATGTCAAAATTACAGCTAAAATATAGAACCACCACCACTTAGAAACATCACAAATCAAGTTGAATGGAAGTGTGACAACTGTGGAATTAAAAAAGCCACATCCATCCAGACTGGTGGGAGGGGTGCAGATGCAGAACAGGCTGGCCTCACACCCACGTGGATAGAAATTCGGGAGGAATATCTCGGGAAAGAGGAGTGCCAGACCCAAACCAGGTCCCCCAGCCCAGGATTCCAGTGCCAGGAAGGTAAGTCCCCACAACTTATGGCTGCAAAAACCAGCCGGGATTGAGTTGGTGGAGAAGGCTGCTGGAGCCCTGAGCAGTCCCTCTTGGGGAACCCACACATGGACTCACCTACTCAGACTTGCTCCCTCTGAGCACCAGCGCCAGGGTGGTAGCTTGAAGGGCACCCGTGGTACACAGGGCTTTCGAGCATCGGGGTGAGCAGAGGCCATTGTCCCTTTGCCGAGCCCTCCCTGCCACAGAGTCAGTAGGCTGGTGCCATATCTGAGACTCAATCAAACTTGCCATTTGACCCATTTTGGGGATCACAGAGGCTCAACCCTACCCAAGCTACTTTTCCAGAATGGCTGGTTTTGGCTCCTAAATCCTATCAAACAAGCAAGAGCTGGCTTCAGTGAGCCCTAGCAGCAACCAGATTAGAGTCACTGCTTGGCTTCACCTGGGAATGTCTAAGCCCAACACAAGTAGCAGCTGTCTCAGGTTGCTTTATAGCTCAGGCAGCATGCCTGGGTGGAACACTGGTGGCAGCTGACCTTGGCCTGCACCACTCAGGAAACCCCAGGGCCAGCGCACCCAGTGGACACCTACAGTCCATGTTGGAGCATCACCACCCTGCCCCTGCACAACTGATCCTCCACAGAGGTTAGAGGTTGGTGGTCAGTGGTCACAGCCAGTCTTTGCAGCTGACTGGCCTGGGTAAATCCCTCCCATTGATCTACCAAAAGCAATCAAGGCTCAACTACAAAAGGAGTGTGTACTCAAGTCACACAAAGGGCGCACCTTGAGTACCCAGCTTGAGTGATGGCGGAGACTGTGCCACTGGACCCTACATGACACCTACTACATTAGGCCATACTACCAAGACACAGTCAAAGCAGCTCTACCTAATACAGAGAAACACAGAGGCTGCCAAAACAAGACAAAAAAAACCCCCAAAACAAACAAAACACAAGGCCCAAAATGAAAGAACAGATCAAAACTCCAGAAAAAGAGCTAAAAGAAAGCAAGATCAGCAATCTATCAGATGCAGAATTCAAAACATTGATTATAAAGATGCTCAAGGAACTTAGTGAGGACCTCAGCAGCATAAGAAAGACCCAGTGAGAAATGAAGGATACACTAACTGAAATAAAGAACAACAGTAGAATGGATGAAGCTGAGAATCAAATCAATGATTTGGAACATAAGGAAGCAAGAAACAACCATGCAAAAGAAGAAGAAAAAAGAATCCAAAAAAATGAGGATAGTATAAATGGCCTCTGGGACAACTTCAAGAGTTCCAACATTTACCTCATAGGAGTGTCAGAAGGAGAAGAGAAAGAGCAAGAAATTGGAAATCTATCTGAAAAAACAGTGAAAGAAAACTTCCCTAATTTGGTGAAGAAAACAGACATGCCAGTCCAGGAAGCGCAGAATTCCAGTTTCGATGGATGCAAAGAAGCCCATTTCAAAACACATCATTAAAAGGCCAAAGGTTAAAAATAAAGAGAGACTCTTAAAAATAAGAGAAAAGAAGTTAGCTTCTGGAAGGTTGCCAGATAGGAGGGCAGAAGGGGAGAATGGGTGAAGGGGTGAAGGGATTAAGAAGCACAAAGAGGTAGTTACAGAACAACCACGGGGATGTACAGTACAGTACAGGAAATGGAGTAGCCAAAGGACTTACAGGCATGACCCATGGACATGAGCAATGGTGGGGGGATTCCCTGAGGAAATAGGGGATGCTGGGTGGGAGGGGACAAAGGGACAAAAATCAAGACAACCGTAACAGCATTATCAACAAAATATAATTTAAAAAATAAAATAAAAAAGGCAAGATTAGCCCTGGCTGCTGTGGCTCAGTGGACTGAGAGCCGGCCTGCGAGCCAAAGTGTTGCTGGTTCAATTCCCAGTCAGGGCACAGGCCTGAATTGCGATCCAGGTCCCTGGATGGGGGCGCACGAGAGGCAACCACACATTGATGTTTCTCTCCCTCTCTTCCACCCTCCCTTCCCCTTTCTCTAAAAATAAGAAATTAAAAAAAGAAAAAAAACAAGATTACTAACAGGGAACAGGAGAGTCAAAGCCTGAGAGAAAATCCAGTGGGCAGCAGAGGGCAGAAGAGACGCTGGCAGGGAATTTCAGAACTCCTCCTAAAAATGTGCCTTCTCCTTAGCAGTAGATCCAAAATCAAAGTGGCTGGGTCATCGGTACCAACCCCCTCCTCTGCTTTTTTGGTAAACCCTTGTGAGATCCTCTGCATGTGTTCACTCTGACCAAGAAAGGCTCATCCAAGGCCCTGAACTCATATCTGGCTTTTTCTTCTTTTTTTGCATGTTTTAATATATATTTATTGATTATGCTATTACAGTTGTCCCTCTCCTTTATTCTCCTCCATCCTGCATCATATCTCGCTTTCTTTTCAAGGTTCTGATTTCTAACTACCTCTTTCTTCTATTAAATGCCATCTGATTCAGAAGCATATCCTCTGTGGTGGTTCACAGCCTCCAAGAAACAGTGGAAGAAACAGCCTTGTTTGGGAGTTCCCAGTGGCCTTCCCCAATTTTGAACTGGCTTCCTTTTATTGTTACTCATGATGTAACTTTCTATGATCAGTTCAAATCCAAGAACTGTCTCCAGGCAGTGAGAGGAAGATTTAAGAAGTATATTATGTGCTACTTCTATTCCAATGCCCGAGGACTATAAAGTAAAGCAGGTTGTGCCATCCAGGCTTTGGCTGGTGGGACCATAGGCTCATCTATTTACTGGGTAATGTAAGACAGGCTGGGTCTCTCCTTCAGAGGCCAACACCCAAATCAGAGCCCACCAGCTCCCTGCCCTTTTTCCCTGAAAGCAAGCAGTAAGACCCACAAGGGACACAGGGCAGGCCCAGGGACAACGTATTGAACACATCATCCGGCCACCTCAGGTGTAGGCTCAGACAGGCATCCCTGTCCTCCATACTGCCACCTGTTCCCAAATGAGCCCCAGGGCCAGGCTATGTGTCTAGATGTGATATTGGCAGAGTAGAGTTTAGGGACTGGACTGAGGTGCGAAGACAGCTGCTAAAATCACATGGGGGAGCTTATTAAGCACGCAGACTTCAAGAGTCCAGGTGATCCTAATCTGAGTGAACCACAGTGGCCTAATCTCTCTGCTTTCTCATTGTCACTGCCTAATGAAATAGAACGGCTGACAGTCTATGGGTGCTTTCCCAGAACCAAGGGGGAGGAAGTTCTAGGTTTCTTTGAGCACAATCTTTCTACTCCTTTCCTACTTCATTTGGGACTGGTGTTAAAGGGCAGACAAGAAAAGTTATCTTTAGGGAATGAAATTATACTCACCAGGGGCTGTAATGCCCAGGACTCCCAGTGTCCCCAGCTGCTTCCAAAACTCCTGTCAGCAGAACAGAGTGAGTGCAATGAGTTGTGAGAAGGCAGCCAGTAACAGTACTTGAACACCTGGAACAACAGACCCAAATGTTTCACAGAAAGGGGCTGCAGTGTTAAGGAGGTTTCATTTACCAGAAGATTGTATGAGCTCTTTTAGGCTGCAGTGTAATTACCAGCCCAGCTCCCAAACTGCCCCTCTGCCCCTCAGTGTGGGCCTCAAGACTCACTCGAAGGTTCTTGAATTCATTGCTTCGATCAATCTCCTGGGCCTGGGGGGCTAGATGCTCCTGAAGGAACTTAGCCATGGTCTGACGAAGCTAGAGGGAGAGAGGTAGACAAGGATGCCTCTTAAACAGTACATTATTGCCACTTAAGACAGTGTCCCCACTACTGAGGACACATTCAGGCAAACAGGGCCCAAGATATCTCACCAAACAACATCAGACTGAAACTTAGAAGCACTTAGTTTATGTTTCCTCGGAGATATGTTCACCCCACTTTCTCTGCATTTTTTTAAAGATTTTATATATTTATTTTTAGAGAAGAAAAGGGAAGGGAAGGGAAGGAGAAAGAGAGGGAGAGTAATATCCATCAGCTGCCTCCCACACACATCCCAAGTGGGAAATGTCCTGCAACCCAGACATGCCCCTGGCATGCACCCTGACAAGGAATTGAACCAGCAATCCCCTGCTTTGTGGAACCACACTCAACCAACTGAGCCATCCCAGTCAGGGCTTCACCTCTCTGTCTTGAGGTCCTAAAAAGAGACAGCTTGAAAATGATTTTTTTAAAATGCCACTCCCCTACATAAAATCATTCCATGACTTTCCTTTGTACTTAGGATGCCAAGGTCCTGCATGTGCTGACCTTCATTGACCCTTCCAGCCTTCCTCAATACCCTAGCCCCCGACACACTGTGCCCTCTTCAGATCTAGGAGCCTGTCAGGCTCTTTTCTGCCCTTTGTCTAAAAGGGATTACTCCCGCCAAAAAATGTCTGGTTCAATTCCCAGTTAGGACACATGCCTGGGCTGCAGGTCATGTCCCCTGGTAAGGTGTGTAGGAAAAGAAACTGCTAGATGTTCCTCTCTCACATTAATGTTTCTCTTCTTTTCTTTCTCCCTCCTTTCCCCTCTCTCTAAAAATGAATGAAGGAATGAATTAATTAAAAATAAATAAATGAAAGGGATTACTCAAAGAGATTAGAAACTTTTCTTGGCAGGAAAGTTTGAGAACTAGAATTGATTTCTAGTTTTCCAGGGCGATTTTCTGTCTCCTGTCTGTAAATGCAAAGGGGCGTTAAGAGTTCTGGGAGGCACTGGCACGTGTTGGCTGTTACAAGAAAAATCAAGTTCTAGAGGGCGTTAAGGCGGGGAACTGTGTCTGAGAGAACAGTCGCCTCCCCTCTGGAAGGGCTCTGGTTCAGCTCCATCTGTAATGACATCTTTCACGTATTTTGCTCAACTTTGTGCTTGGCCTGTGGGGGCAGGGCGGTTAGAGTACATTGCATAAAAAAATCCCGGAGGTGTGTATTTCAAAAAGATTTGTTGAGGATTACTATCAACCCGTTTGAGAACCACAACCTTGCGTAAAATGTTCAGCTGTAAGGAGACTTCAGGCAGATTGTGGACCCTTTGGCCACATACAGATGGCCCCCGCCAATCCTTCATCAAAACACCATGAGTTTCCCAGGAGCTTTCCTGTCTGACTCCTCACCTAACTCTCGCAGCCTGGCACACGCCGCAGTTACGTGGCAGCTGGGCGGAAGAGTGTCAGGCAGACCACGAAGCAGGCAGCTGGGGCCAAGGCTAGGAGGCCTTGAGGCCGGGAAAGGGGTCAGGCTCCCTACCTGCTTCTGTTCCTCCTTTAGCCCGTTAACTGCATCGTCCACGGGCAATAGCGAGTGGGCCCGTTGGGGAACGAGGCGGGCGAGCGGCGACAGCGGCGTCTGCAGCCTCCAGCTCGTCGCGCACCGTCCCAGCAGCCAAGCCTTCGTCGCCATCTCTTCCTTGCAACAGACCCAGTGCCAAAGCAGAAAGGAGTCCGCCCCCGGGAGTTCCACCAATCCTGGGTTTCGCGGACCCCACCAATCAGCGAGGAGATGGGTCTCCAGCAGCCTATCACTCTTCGTTGTCCGGTGAAGGCTGAGATGCCCTTAGCCAAGACCGGAGCCAATCAGTGGTGGTCCCCGTTAGCCGACTCCGCGTGAGGCGTTGGTACCAATCGCGGAACCTGGTGGCTTAAGCGCTAGGTTGGGTCCTCCTTAGGTAGAAGTGTCTTCCTTTTCTGAGCGGAGGATATAGTATCCCCCCTGTGGTGAAATAGCAGCCCCTAACTGCGGAAGTCTACTTCGGTGGGAAATCAAGTGTTAACCTAGCAGAGGGAAAAACTCCCCAAATGCCTAGTGCTTGGGAGTAAACTGTTAAAGCAAATGTGGAATAGCTCAGACTGGGAAAATACTTTCGCTCTTGTCTGCTTTTAAAAAGCAAGGGCTCCCAAATCAAATAAACAGAACGAGATACCTACTTTTAAATACTAACATAGCTGAAATAAAGAGAAAGATGAGTCACGGGACTCCTTTCACCAGAGTGGAAAATTTCAATTAAAAAAAAATTGGGATAAATAAAATGGACACTGACTTGGTTAAAACAAAGATTTTAGTACAGCATAACCAAAAGCTGAATGGATACCCCTCCCCCCACCCCCGGAGGTGATGAGGGCTCAAGAGTTGGAAATGTTTAATTTAGGTAATAATAAGCTTAGTAATCAATGCATGTACGAAGACATTGTTCCAAGAGCTGAAGGCATGACCCACCTTGACTCTAGCAGACCATAAGCAGTTCCACCTTGGTGCCTCACGAGGCGGGCGAGCGGCGACTGGGGCGTCTGCAGCCTCCAGCTCGTCGCGCGCCGTCCCAGCAGCCAAGCCTTAGCCGCCATCTCTTCCTTGCAACTGACCCAGCGCAGTCAAGGTGGTGTCTGAGCCATTGTACTCCAGGTTGAGGCGTGAACTGCCCAGGACACAGATGAAAGAATGCTGCAGCTTTTATTTGATTAGCTTTTTCCCAGAATTCCAAACACTCACCTACACTTGTCTTCTCCTTATAAAAAGGGGGCGGGGGGGTTTGAAAAGGAATTTTAAGACAGTCTATGAGAACCCCCAGCTTTTCTTTCTGTCAGGGTTTAACTCGATGGATAAATTTGTTCCGGTAGGGCTTTTCTTGGAGCTATTTTGGGGAACATTTTATTCTACCTGTTTAATTTCTTCTTCAGAACACTCTGGGTATTGCCTAGTTGTGTTTCTAGTCTGTAAACCCTAACACCCTTGAAAAAAATCTTATTTCTAGCCAAAGCCTCCAGACTCAATTTTTAAGTTTGATGGACAGTGTGTAGGCTCGGATTTTAATTTAGATTTGTTTGGCTGGGAATGGGCTGCAAACTGAAGTTTTAACATCCTAATTTTATATCTAACTTTTATTTTGTCACCCTTGCTGAAGACCTTTCTGTATGTAGATTCCTTCCCTACTCCCTATGCCATCAATTAAGTCCTGCCATTTTCTTGTGATTCAGATCTTTCTTTACACCTTTGCTGTCTCGGCCCTTACGCATTTGATTCCTACGCTCTGCTGATGTCCTTGACTCTATTCTCTTAAAGGTTCAGAAATAGCCAAAGTAAAACCAATGTATCACCAAAGTAGTAATTAGTAAAAGTTCATCGTGCAAACCAGGAGCACTCAAACCAAAACATGAAATGAGGTTCAGATGTACTCGTATAATGTTATAAAGCAGCTTATATAGTGAGAAAATGTTACCGAACCAAATCAAACAAGGGTCTGCCTGCCTGATGTGCAGCAAATCCAAACACTGAACGTCAAGGTTTGCAGGGGGAAATTAAAGCTGTTTTATTTTCAGGGAGTCAAGTAAGGAGAAGAGAAAGGTATCGCTTAAAACCCCAATTCCCCAGTGGCTTTTAATGAGGGGTTTTAAAGGCAACAGGCTGGTACGTGGTGTCCAGGTGTACAAACACTGATGTCCAGGTGTGTATCAACAAAGCAAAGCTCTGGGATTGCACAGCACTTATAATGGGATGCAGGAAGGAACTTTCTCAACCGGGTATTTTGAGTTTGTCTCTGGTTAGTGGGTTGGCTTTGAATCTGAAAAACAAACTTACAGGAAGTGAGGGTAATTCCTGGGCCATTAATCTATAACTATCTATTGATAACTGCCATAGTTCTGGCAGGACTTGACTCCATGAAGCAATTTTTGGAAACATTTTATTCTGTTTCACTACTAGCCTGAGGTCAGTGTCGACAGATTACGCTGCATTCTTTTCGATGTCAAACAGGGAATGAAGACAGTAGTGTCCAATTTGACTCCAAAGCTTGAGAAAGTAGGCAGTGCCCAAAATCCTATTAGTAAATACTTGTAGTTATTGAACAATGACATGTTTTTTTAGATTTGTGTATTATTTTTTCAAATAGCTATTCTAAGTTGTTAGGACATAAGTACTTATTTGGATCTAACTACTTAAAGTAGAATTGTTAGGTATTTATTTTGGCATCAAAAAATATTACTGACATAATGGGGTCCATGTTTTTTGCCTTTTCCCTAACTCCAGAGGCTGTGGCACGGCAGCCACTGAGCTAGAGTCATTGGCCACCATCGTCTCTTCTTACACCCCTGCTGGCGCCTGGCGGGACACAGCGAACAAGGACCTGCAGGGCAGGAGGCAGCATTTTCTGTACTTTGCCTCTGGCAGCAGCCTGCTGACTAGTGGATCCCCCTCCGAAACCCTTTGGCCTGCTGGTGGCCCTCCCACAGTGTTCTTAGTTGCAAGCAACAGGAAGTGGCTGATTGAAGCAGAAAAAAGAAGGTATAGAAGGCTGCTGGAGAGCTTACAGAATGACCAGGAAGGACCACAAAGCCGATATTATAGGCAGGCAAAAAGGGAGGCGTGGCAATTGGAATACAGCCAGTGTCACGGACAGAAACTGCATAGGCTGCCAGGGCCACACCCGTGCTGAACTTGGTAAATGTGGACACCCCCTCATGCATCGCCAGCAATGCCTGCTCCGGACCCTGTCTGCTACTGCCACTACACCCCTGCAGTTCCTGAAACCCAGATGTGGCCACCACCACCAGGCACCAGAGGGGAATTTCTGCGGTCGTGAGCACTGTTCGAAGCCCCAGAAGTTGTCCAGATTGGCAAAGTATTGGCCATGTGCCCTTGCCCTGACTGCAAGCAAAATTTGGAGAATTGCCTTCTGGGGTTCAAAGCTTTAAAACTGGGAGTCTGGCTCTGGCACACTCTACCCTCCAGACACATAAGGTAGGAAATTCCCCAAATGTGGGAAAGAAGTTCAGATACTTATATTAATAGTTGAGATGAGGGGAAGAGTTATCAAGCAAATGATTAATCAGTTACAGGATTTTAAGCTGGACTTTGGCAATTCCCAAGGCAAAACAAATGAAACTTAGCATAGGTGTATAGCTACCGTTTTTCAAAGTCCTGGCTATGAAGTTTGGGGAGTAGTATGGAAAATGAACAAAAGCAATTTAAGTTCTCTGGATAAGCAAGAGGAGTTAATAGGAACACGTCCCAAAAGAAATTAATGTTTACACTCAGGAAGGAAAAGAAATAACCCTAGTATAAAAAGGTCCTTTACATGGGCGCAAAAGAGAGTAGTTTGCCATTGGAGTATCAAATGAAGTTAAAAGCAATACAACCCAATGACTACAAATGGTCTCAGAAGAAATTGAAGACATTATCAAAAAGTAGGAAACAAAAACTCGTTAGAACATAACAGACTACACTTACAGATATTTTTTATGTGTTCATTTAATATATTTAACATTTAGAACAGGGATCTGGGATATATCTATGTTTAATATATTTTCAGCAATGCTCTGAAGGGGTATCTCACTTGACTCCTTGTTTTCAGACTATAAAAAGAAACTGGGTTAAGAGTTAGGCAATCACAAAGGGGACCATAAGGCACTGGAATGTATGATAAATGGATATGGTTATTTCTTCTGTGAACATGTTTCTGTGAAGTTATTTTCTTGAGTTGATCTGAAGTATATTCTTGCTCTGTGACAAAGGGTAGATGTGAAACTTGATGGTACTGGCGAATCGTTCTGCTCTGGAATTTTTTTTTTTTTGCACTTAATAAGTGCTAACAAATTGCACAGTTGATGATAAATATTACTGAGACAATAGGGACATACGAACTGAGAAAGTTTGGAAACCTATGGCCTAAATGATAAAACCCACACTTCTTAGCATGGCATTAAAGGTTCTTCAAAACTTCTGGTAACACCATTATCTCCCACCCCTATTGTTCCCTGGCTTGAGATTTTCTCCAATACTTCTCGTTGTTTGACCTGGGGCAATTCAACCTAACTTCTCTAAGCCCATTTCCCTACCTGTAAAAAGAAAGGGGTAATAGCGCTTTACGTTGTATGACTGTGATGAGGTTTACATGGGAATGTGACACATAAGGAGGAACATAACATCACATTTGGATTATTCTATTACAAGTGTTCAATTAGGCGTCAGACATAATCCCTTTTCATCTTGAACCCTCTGAACAAGCCGTGTTCTTACTCAGTGTCCCAAGACTCATCTTCCCGCTCCCCTTTTTCTAATCTTTCATGATCTTATTTTCTCCCAGGAGTTTACAATGATCCCTTCCTTGGGTTTGATTAATTTGCTAGAGTGGCTCAAAGACTCAGCAAAACATTTTATTTACTAGATTACTGGTTTATTATAAAAGCATACAACTCAGGAACAGCCAGATGGAAGAAAAGTGTAGGGAAAGGTATCAACGTCAAGGACATGGAGCTTCCATGCCTTGAGCACCGCACTCCCCTCAAATCTCCATGTGTTCACTAACTTGGAAGGTCCTCAACTTTCTAGCTATAGCCTCTTCAAATGTTACTTTGCCTTCAATTTCCAGTCTACCTCCTCCATAAGCCTAGCTCACAGTTAACTGCTATACTATACAACGGTACCACACAACTCAGTTAGTAAAGTAGTGCCTTTTGTTATTTAACTTGTTTATGACCTGCACATTTTTTGTTTCACCTAATAGACTGAACACATCTTTGAAATGAAGAATGTAATGCTACATTAAAGTTTCCTATGGCATCTAGTAAAGTGGGAAGGTGCAGATCACTATTTACTAAGTTTATGCATGAATTTGTTCAGGCTCCAGGTCAGGTTAAGCATCCAGAATATTAACACATGTACAAAAGGCAGGAGCAGCAGCACTGGTCAGAAGAAATAAGAGCGCACAAATCTGGCTGGCGGTGCAAAGGAGAGCTATGAAGTGGGAGCCCCTTGGTGAGACCAGGACACAAAGGAGCAGGGTCTCTACATTGGGGAAGATGAGTAACCACAGACATTGAGGTAATTCCTTTCTCAGGAGTTAACGAGGGTGGCATGACAAGGAGGTGAGAATCCCACAACTGAATTTCCCACCCTCTCCTTCCAAGAAGGAAGTAAAACTTTATTTTGACCTGAATGAGCAATTACAAATTCATTTGGGTAAATAATGTTTTAAACTATAAACATCCTAAAAATGGGTAGAAGAAAATGTTTAGCCCTTTTCATTTGTGTGAATTATTTAACTGGATTTCCCCCTCAAAATATTTGGGACATAACCAACTGCACGAATGTTTGCGTGTGAAGGCAAAGATTTTTAGCCCTTTAAGTTAGGGTGGGGGCATTAGCTGGCCTGAATGGGTGGCTCTGGGCCACCTCAGTAATCCTGCATGGTGGGTGGGTTTGGCGAAAAAATTAGTAGGCGCAGAAAAAAGGGGAGATAGCCAAAGACTGCGTAGTTTGACGAAGAAATGAAATATGGCTGTGTCTTTGGTAAACCAGGTTGGGGCAGACTGCCATGGACTTCAGTTGTTTAAGGATCCATGAACCAAGTCAGGATTGGCTGTGCAAAGCAGACAGCAGGTACATAACCGCGCTTAGGAGTGCAGGGAGACAGCTGGTGACGCAAACCTGGCCGATGGAGTGTGGTGCCCACTGCTACAAATAGGGGGCACCCTCAGAAAGCCGGCTCATGTTCCTGGAAGACGGGGTGGGGTGGGCATGGAGCAATTAATGGATGGAAGAGAAATATTCTGGGTTAAATTGAGGTGGAACTGTGAACTCCTAGATTAGTTTAGTAGTAGTCAGTGAACACATTTAGGTTAAAAGGTCATTTTTTTACTTTTTTTTTTTTTTTTACTTCTCCATATTGCAATCTGAATAGAGAAATATCTATATATAGAAAGAAATATCTCTTTTAATTAGATATTTCTTTTTATATATATAAAAAACCAGAAGTAACTTAGATTAAAAGCTCCAACGTGTATTGTTTCAGGTAGGTGTTATTGCTATTAACCTTCAACCCATTTACTAAGCTATTTCAAGTAACTTTAAGTTCATAAATTTACAGTGAGGTATAGAGCCCAACCAGGATGGGACAGAATATGTTCCAAATTAGAAGGAGAACGCATGGCTCATCAGTGATACTTCCTGTGGAGCACCTGTGCTCCAGTGTACAACTAAGGGTTTCTTCCCGTACATCTGAATGTGACCTTTTGGATTCTCTGGCTGTGGCTGGTTTAGTCTCCCAATTCTAACAGAGCGTCTGTTGCTTTGTTGCCTCAGTTGATCCAAGTGTCCAGGCAGCCCTCTTGTAGATCTTAATTATGTACATGATAGCTTCAGAGAGCTGACCAATCTGAAGGTTAGAACACTTACTTAAAAGAGAAACTGCTATTCCAACACAAACTGTCCTTAAGCCTACTGCAGAAACTATTTTCATTCTGGGGATGGTGAGTCCTAGAAGATCATGGCCAAGAAGTAGATGTCCTCAGTGGATTCCTCTTAGCGTTAATCCCCAAGAGACAGCCATATGGTCATTTGCTTTTTATCACATTTCTAATAGCTGCTCCATTTCCTCGAGAGCTGTTGTAAAATCATTTACTTGACTGTTACATAAGGTCTGCTGTTCTAGGAACCGGGTCCTCTCTTCTTCTTTCATCTTCAACTTTACTTTTAAGGCCTGCTTGGAAAGATATTCAAAAAGAGAAAACAACAAACACAAAACTTTGAAACATTATGCTTCCATTCCATTGAAGACCAGAGGAATACTGACATTAGGTTTGTTTATCTGTGCTGGTTTTAGGAACTGCCCCATTTTGCTATAGACTCCTCTATCTAAAGTGGAGCAATAAAATCCTCTAGGATTCAGTGTCATATCCCATGATTCATCCAAGCAACCCAAAGCAGTCCCACGAAGCTGGGTTTCCTTAAGGTGTCAAGTTTCTACAGCATGGATTTCACACAAGTCTCAACTCTGAGCAACCTTGCATGTTGCACATTGTCTTATGCCCTGCAGATCTGAACAATTCTAAAGGGTCTTCAGAACAGAAAAAGAAAATTAGTTGGAAAAAAATGGTGAAATCAAATGAAGTCTTGGAATTTAGTTAATAATAATACATCAATGTTAGTGTTTCCTAGTTTTGACAAATGGCTCACGATAATATAAGATGCTAATAGTACAGGAACTGAATTCTCTGTATTCTCTTTGAAACTATTCTGTAAATCTAGATTACAAAATAATTTATTAAAAATAAAGAAATAGATAAATAAGAAAGAGCCTTCCAAAGATCTACCCATGGTGGCAGGCAATGGTAATTCTACCTCCAGGTGACGTTGGCCTCTTACCTGTAAGTCTTCCATTTGCTTTTTGGCTGTTTCATTAAAAAGCTTTAGTTCATCTTGCAAAGTTTCTAACAGCAACTGAGAGGAAACACAATATAGTAACAAATCTTTATTGAAATGTGAACATTTTCTTCATGTAAGTTCATCTCTTTGTATGAAAGGAGCATTGAAGTAGATGGTTACTAATATCGTTCAATTATTTGCTGAGCACCCACACACAAACCAGGTTCTCTCTTGGGCACCCTGACAGAACTCCATCCCCTAGAGGGACAACAGATTACCTCGCTTCTACAAGATCTGCTACACAAGCAATAAACAAAACATAGTAGCCACTGAAGGGGTGACTATTAGCTTGGGAGAGCTGAGGATGGTTTCCATACCTCATATTCCATGATTCTAAGATGACAACTGATCTTCTTGGGGAAGAGATCATAGAAGCTCAGAAGACTTTAATCCCAAACAATTACCTTCCTACTCTTCAGGGAAGAAACCAAGAGAAGCCAAATTTAATTCAGGCTGAACCTTTGTATTACAAAGTTCTCAGCAAAGGAGTAAGGAGAGAAATTTGTTATAGTGTACAATAGAGAAACCAGAAAGCTCGCTATACAGGTCGATCCTATTATGCTTTAAAGTAGTACACTTTCAACTCAGACTTACTCATTTTGTAAGAACAAAGTCACCTGTCTAATAAATATGCTACTATAAGTGCACATCCACTACTCTCTGCTTCCTCTATCCTGGGTAACCAAAGGCTGCTCCTCGGGGTTTACTGATCGTATGGCAGAGACCTTAGAGCTGCAGGGCCCCACAGTCACTCGGCCTTCGCCCACTCACACCCATGCCCTCACCACAGAGTCCACGTGATCCGTGTTGGATTCTTGCTGTGATGTCAGAGTTTCACTGCCTACAAGTAATGGAGTCAACAAAGTCAGCCTTGCTTAGGGAACTGTACCTTAGACAAAGTAAAATAAAATGAAATAAATTCCATCTCCCAGACAAGCACAAGAGTTTCCATGAGGGAAACTTGTCTAAGCAGCCGCTCCCTGACTCCCCCTAGTTTTCGCCTCAGCAGTGCTGCCCATACCTGCCTTCATGGACACATTTTACCTCCTTCCTTTCTGTGTTTGGATATGGCCAAAAATTAATCCTGCTTTCTCCTCAGCAAAAAAATTGGTCAAAAGGAAATGCATAGGTTGGATTTTTTGTTAATAAAACACATAGCTATTTTTTAAAGCTTTTCAGGCCTTAAATATTATTTTTGGCAAAAGTAGTGCATACACATAGTAAATTAAAATAATGTAAAACCACAAATGGTGACTATAAAGAATATATCCTAAAAATGCACGGGTTAGCCAGTAGCAAAGTCAGCATTTCTTAATTCAGAGAAGCGCGGGGCCCTTCCCCAGGCATGCTCAGGGTCCACGGCTCAGTGCCAGGCCCTCTGGCAGTTCTTGGGCAATTCCTCCTGTGCTCTCTTCATTCCAGACTCTGTTCTCTAGGGACAAGGTCAAAGCAAGAATCACATTTTAATCACTGTGATTCTGCGGATTAGCCAGATATTACAGCATCATCTCTTTCTTTTCCCACCCGGAAGAGTTACTCACATGTGCTCTTTCTTAAAAAAAGAAGTATTTCTGGTCTAACTTGCAAGGTCATATCTTTGAGGGCCAAATGAATTCCATAAAGTGTTCAAATAAGAAAGAGACGATAATCCTTTCTCCACACCCACCTGTTGCTCAGGCCCTGTCAGCATCACAAGGGAACAAAGAGGAGCTTCAACCCCCTACACTGACTAGGCCAGCTGCCTGCCATGCTGCACTCTGAACCCACAGTCCAGAATCATTCCAGGGGAGGGCACTGATTCCTTTGAAGGCCGCCGTGTGCTGTTTCTTACCTGGATTGAGGCCCTTGCTCTCCAATATTGCCAAACAGTTGTCCTGAAACTTCTCCAGCAGCTCCACCTTTTGGGTCAGGTCCTTTAGTTCTCCCTATTGGGATGCATGCAGACAGCTCAGGCCTGTCCCACTCCGTACCTCAGGAGTGGCCTTTACTGCCCATGCTCTCAGACAGCCACAGCGCAAGCCTGGCATCTTACCTGGGTACTCAGGCAAGGTACCGTACCGCAGGTATCCTTGGGTACGCAGGCATTACGGCCTTGCTCCCACCAGAGGGGCTGTCCCTCGGGATTCCATCTGCACCGCCCAATGCAGCTGATGGCAGAGGTCTGGTGGCCTCTTACCTGAGTTTCAGTCAACTTCTGGTGCAACTGCTTGTTGACGACCTCTAAGAGCTGGTTCTTATCCTTGAGCTCTTCCTCTGATTTCTGCTTACTCAATGGTTTGTAGCTGTAATTGGTAATTGTACTTATTGAATATATGAAGTGGTGGATGGTTTGTAGCTTAATTGGTAATTGTACGCACTGAATATATGAAGTGGTGGAGGGGGTAAGAGTGTGTATGGACTCTGTAGTCTCACTCTGGCTTCATTCCCAGTGCTGTAGGACCTTCACTGAGTTGCATAACCTCTCTGAGGCTCTGTTTCCTCATTTCTAGACTTAAGATAATACCTGCATCTCATATTATTACTGTTGTGAAAGATAAGAGAGAGAATACATGTACCATCCTCAGCACAGCTACTGGCACATAGCAAACACTTAAACAGTAGCCATTATCACCATTAAATGTTCTTTTCAAATTTCTCAGAGTTCTTGATAGTATTTTATTTTCAGAACTTTTAAGACATGACCAGATTTGGAATCAGAGCTTATTTCTACAGGATTTTCAGCTTGTGTTATTTCTGTCTTCAGGACTGCAAAATGTCCAAGCTAGTCTCAAAGAGAGAAAGATAAATCCCTCTCCTGGATTTAGCCTTCACCAGCCCCAGCAGCAGCAGCACCACCGGAAACACCATCTTGAAATCACTAACTACATGCTGCCCCTCCGATCCCGAAGGCTTTACACTCCTGTTGATAGGTCATAGCTCGGTTTGATTTCCAGTCGGCAGTGGCCCTGGCATGGAGCCACAGAAGCTCGTGATTGGTCCTAAAGATAGCAGCACTTTGCCCTGAGAAAACTTCTCAAACCTGGCTGTGCCTCGCCCCTGAAAATCCCATCCAGATTTTGGGGGCTGCAAAATTTGAACTGTAACTCATTAAACAAGTCCCAACAAATCCTGTACAACCAGGACTGAGAGCCACTAAAATGGTACCCAACCTTCATACAACCTGATGTTCACCTCTTTTTGACGTTCCTTTTGATGGCAGTGTCTGCAGCTTTCACCTGCCTAGAGAAGCAAAGACAAAGAAATCAGGATGTTGACTTACTGTCGTGAACATTTTGCAATATACACACATATCCAATCATTATATTGTACACTTGAAACTATACCGCTGCAGTCAATTATTCCTTAATTTAAAATCAGCAGCAAAGGGAACAATAAGAAAATCATAATATGTTGTTATATGTGTTGTGAACAAAGCAGAACAAAGAGCCTGGTCTTCTGAGGAAAGAACCAGAGATTTTATATAATGCAATTAGTACAAGACTGATAAGCTCCGAGGGCCCACGCACTGTTGTTTCAGCCCAATTATTGAAAAAGTCTTATTAATACAGAATGAACTCCCCTCCTGCTCAAAATGGAGTGGCTATCTTATGTCAACCTCGCTTACATGGGGACTGAGCACTGGATGGAGGCACACACGCACCTTGGGCTGAACCGTGTGCAGACCAGCAAAATAGGCTAACAATTAGCGTCCACCCACCATGGCTACCATTTAGGGCTGGTGTGTGACCACAGTAATGACATTTGTACACTCAGGGCAAGTGGTGAGAAAGGAAAAAACACCTCTTATCATAACTGTTGCTGTGTCTCTTTAGGACCGAAGAGACTCCTTCGGTTCTGGCTCCTGGCAAAGAGTTCGGCAATGCTGCACTGCGCTGGGCCACTGACTGCAGGCCAATTGTTCAGGTGCCTTGTGCTCATGAAAACCCTGATTTTCTGATTCTTGGTACTGAGCAGGTTCTAGCAAGATGTTCTAACTGGATACCAATGATATGACCCACCCATTCTCTCGTCTTGGTTTGATGATTTTCATAACATCGTTCTCTGAAACACCTGGATGAAGAAGTCTGGGAACATCGACTTCTTTAGACTTAACAGGTAATAAGCTCTTAGAAGTGGCTCGAATTTGTGTGTCTGCCAAAGGAAAAGAGGAGGGTAAAACTTCAAGTATCATGACCCAACAGCTGCCACTCTGTAACAGAGTTCTATTCTAAGTTGTCAGAAACCTGTATCTCGTTCTGGCCAATCTCAATATGTGAAGATTAATTCAGGAAAATGAGAATTCTAGACTAATTGGGGATTGAAACCAAAATTCTTTAAATGTGACAATGCAGTGTATAAGGGTAGCCAAAAGCTTGATGACACATCAAACGGAATGGCCACAGGATATAAAGTGAAGGTTGACACAAGCAAAGGGCTACAGAAGAGGCAGTGTGGCAGTCAGCAGGGCAAAATGCAGCCGAATGCTTCATCACACGCCAGAGGAACTGAACCATCTTATTAAGCTTCTAAGCACTCTGCACGCTCTCCCAGGGCTACACTCAAGCTGCTTCGAGTTTCTCTTTCAACTATTGCTTTAATTGGTTTGACCATACTGTCTCCCTAACTACTCTAAAATATGTCTTTGTGTCCCAGTGCTTAGGAGAGTACCTGGCGGCATCCGAACAGAGGTTTCACAGACCACCTCTAAACAATCCCTAGTCTTCTTTCCCTCCTCCATGCTGATACCTTTACTGCCAGCCCTTTCAATTTGTTTATACATCATTAAGTTTAGAGGTTCCCTATTTACATTCTCTTCTGATCTTCTTGCTGGGCAACTGCCAGCCAGAGAAACAGCCCTGCCATGACACTCAGCTTCCCCAGGGAGCATTTTCCCCCTGACCCATATGCTTCCCTTCACTAGACACTAAGTTCTTACCATTGATGTTTCATAACCAAAAGCAGTCATGTGTGCTGGAGTTAAGCACACCCCATCCTCCCCACAACACACACACTGGGTTTTCTAGTTTACACTAGTTTACTTTGTTCATTGTAAAATGGCTCATTTAATCTTAACCTAAATAAAGTGCCGTAAGAATGAAATCAGGTTGAAGAAATGAGGTACAAAGCACTGGATCACAGGGATTAGGAAATTTTGTATTTCCTAATGGACAAAGAAATCAGGATGTTGACTTACTGTCATGAACATTTTGCAATATACACACATATCCAATCATTATATTGTACACTTGAAACTATACCGCTGCAGTCAATTATTCCTTAATTTAAAATCAGCAGTGTTTGAAAAAGACTTTATTTTGATGAGTCTAACTATAAAACAGTTTGGAATAAATATCATTTCTCAGGTTAACAAATTATTTCATTTACAGGTATATTCACTGGGCACTTACACCCTATTTTCCATACTCTTACTCATAAAACAAAGGTTAAAGGTTTCTTTCTGAGGTCTCTGTCTAAAGTAAAAGGTAACCTTAGGGGAATATATTTTTCTTCTCTCTTAAGTATTTATAAGTTACACATAACAAATGTACCCTATGGAAAAAGGTGTTAATAGTAAATTGGTCAAAATTAACACTCTTCACTGACTGTAATTAGTTCCAATAATCCATATTTGCTAGAGCCTAAGGATTGTATTGTAGGAAAAATTTAGCAGGCCTTAACCAAGATTATCTTCTTAAAATCAGGTATGTTAGGAGGGAAATTGTATGGCTGGTGTTCAAATAAGGAGAGGCAACTGGTTTTTCACTACATATCATTTCCTAACTCTGAATCGTTTTTACACGTACGTACGTTACCTACTCAAAAAACTGAAACCTGGAGTTACATAAAATTTGGAGTGACGTCAGCATCATGGCAGGGTAAGAAGGCTCCTTTGTTTCTTTCCTTAACATTTTTTTAAAAAAGATTTATTTATTTTTAGAGAGGGGACGAGATGGAGAAATAGGAAACACCAATGTGTGGTTGCCTCTTGCACGCCCCCTACTGGGGACCTGGCCTGCAACCCAGGCCTGTGCCCCGACTAGGAATTGAACCGTCAACCCTTTGGTTCACAGGCCAGCACTCAATCCACTGAGCCACAGCAGCCAGGGCTCTTCCCTTAAATTTACAAGTTGGGCAACTATACCTCAACAAAGGATCCTCTGCTCAAAATGCCGCAAAGATCCACACCCTGGGACACCTGAAAGTGGGTGTACTGGAACGAGTAGGGAAGGCAGGACGGGGGCGGGGGATACAGGATGGTGGCCCACCATGGCTCCAGTGAGGGTGGCAGCAGTGGAGAAGCTGAGCTGCAGCCCTCACACTAGGGCTGTAAGAGGGGCGGAAGTGGTATTCCCCTGAGAAAGGCCATCTCTCTTCCCCTTCCCCACTGTGGTAGACTCAGACAGAGGCGGCTGGGAACCTTAAACAGTGCAGCGGTGACAACAACAGGGAGGGGCAGAGCCAAAAGGTCTTGAACTTGCCTTTCTTGCTCCACCCATCCTGACAGAGCCAGGAAGAACCGGTAGAGAGGCCTCCAAAAGTACAGCAGGGCCAGCGACCATTAGAAAAAAGGAGGTAGCAGGCAAAACCAGTACTCCACTACCCATCACACTTCCCCACTGCAGCGGTGGTGCCCTGTAACGGAGGCCATCGAGTCACAGGGGGACACCCCGCATCCCAGGGGGTACTTGCCATTTTTCTTAACTGAAGTGACACTGCTCCACCATGATCCCAGAGGTGCAAATAGTGCGGTAAGAGGCAACAAAAACTTAAACTATAATACCATCAAAATAAAGTTCCCTACCTATCAAATCACTGAATTATTGAGAGCAAAACAGCATATAAAACAAGAAAAGAGTTCACTACCCTCACATGTGCAGGCAGAGAAACAATTCATTAAATACCATGAACAACCCAAATAATATGGGAGCACAGAAAGAAATGAAAAGTCTCCAGAAACCAAAGTCAAAGTCATGGAAGAGCATGACTTAAATGACAGAAAATTTAAGGTTGCAGTTATGAAAAAATTCAGTAAGATACAAGAGAACTCAGAAAGGTAGTACACTGAGTTCAAAAATAAAATTAATTAACAAAAGTATTTTACCGAAGAAATTTAAACTATAATAAAGAACCAAACAGAAATTCTGGAGCTAGAACTCAATGAGATGAGGAATGCTCTAGAAAGCACTGGAAATAGAGCAGACAAGATGGAAGAGGGAATTAACAAGCTTGAGATAGAAACCTAGAAATGACCCAGGAGGAAGAACAGAATGAACTAAGAGGTTAAAAAAAGAAAGAACTATATAAAAACTATCTGTCTCCATTAGAAAGAACATAAACCCTGGCTGCTGTGGTTCACTGGACTGAACATCAGCTTACAAAGCAAAAGGTTGCCGGCTCTATTCCCAGTCAGGGCACATGCCTGGATTGCTGGCCAGGCCCCCAGTTTGGGGCATGTAAGAAGCAACCAGTCAATGTTTCTTTCACACAAGGACATTTCTCTCCCTTTCTTTCTCCTTCCCTCCCCTCTCTCTAAAAATAAATAAATAAAATCTTTAAAAAAATAAAAAGAAAATTACAGGCCAATATCACTGATAGATAGGCAAAGTCAATCCTAAACAAAATACTAGCAAATCAAATACAGCAATACATAAATAGAATCATACATCACGATCAAGTGGGGTTCATTCCAGGGATGCAAGGATGGTTCCACATCCACAAATCAATCAATGTGGTTATAACAATAGATACAGAAGAAGCATCTGATAAGCTACAACATCCATTTATAATAAAATACTCCATAAAATTGGTATAGAAGGAAAGGAGCTCAACATGGTAAAGGGCATATATGACAAACCCATAGGTAACATCATACTCAATGGTGAGAAACTGAAAACTTCCTCCAAGCTCAGGAACAAGACAAGGATGCCCACTCTCATCACTGCTATTCAGTATAGTTCTGGAAGTCCTGGTCAGAGCAGAGCAATTAGGGGAGGGAGGGAGGGAGGGAGGGAAGGGAGGAAGGAAAGGAAGGAAAGGAAGGAAAGGAAGGAAAGGAAGGAAAGGAAGGAAAGGAAGAAAAGAAGGAGGGAAGGAAAAGACATCCAAACTGGGAATGGAGAAGTAAAACTCACTATTTGCAGATGACATGATTCTCTATGTAGGAAATCCTAAAAATATTAGAAGCAATAGAAAAAATACAGGAAACTTGCAGGATATAAAATGAACATATAAAAACCTGTTGCATTCCTATATACTAACAACTATATATATATATATTTTAAAAAATCCCATTTACAATAGCATCAAAAAGAATAAAATACCTACAAATAAAGTTAACAAAGGTAGTGAATGATCTGTACACTGAAAATTACAAGACACTGTTGAAAGAAACTGAAGAAGACATAAAGAAATGGATAGATATTCCATGTTTATGGATTGGAAGAATTAACATTGTTAAAATGGCCATATTACCTAAACCAATATACAGATTTAATGCAACCCCTATAAAATCCTAATAGTCTTTTTCACAGAAATATAACAAAAAATCTCAAATCTGTATGGAGTCATGAAAGATCCAGAATCGCCAAAGCACTCCTGAGAAAAAAGGTTAACTAAGCTGGAGGTATCAAACTCTCTGACTTTAAACTAAACTATACACCTTCAATAATTAAAACATCAGGGTATTGGCAGAAATACAAACAGACAGACCAATGGAACAGAATTAAGAGCTCAGAAATAAACTCACATATATATGGGCAACCAATTTTCAACAAAGGAGCCAAAGACATACAATGGAGAAAGGAAAGTCTCTTCAATAAATGGTGTTGGGAAACTGGAAAGCCACATGTAAGAATGGGACTATATCAAACTAAAAAGCTTCTGCAGAGCAAAAGAAACCATTAACCAAACAAAAAGGCAAGAAGATATTTGCAAATGCTGCTTATCATAAGGGGTTAACATCCAAAACATATAAAGAACTCATACAACTCAACAATTAAAAAACCCTATTAAAAATGGGCAGAAAACTTGAATAAACATTTTTACCAGGAAGATACATATGGCCAACAGCTACGTGAAAAGATGCTCAACATCACTAGCTATAAGGAAAATGCAAATCAAAACCTCAATGAGATACCACCTCAAACCCATTAGAATGGATGTAATCAAGAAGACAAGTAGCAAGTGTTAGAGAGGATGTGGAGAACACGGACACTGCTGTTGGGAATGGAAATTGATGTAGCCACTAAGGAAAAAAGGACTGAGGTTCCTCAAAAAATTAATAGAGCTACCATATGACCCAGCAGTCCATCTTCTGGGTGTCTACCTTAAAAATGTGGAAACAGCCCTGGCTGGTGTGGCTCAGTGGAGTGAGCGCTGGCTTGCAAACCAAAGGGCTGCTTGTTTCGATTCCCAGTCAGGGCACATGCCTGGGTTGCAGGCCAGGTCCCTAGTTGGGAGCATGAGCCAGAGGCAACCACACATTGATGTTTCTCTCCTTCTTTTTCTTCCTCCCTTCCCTTATCTAAAAATAAACTTTAAAAATCTTTTCCAAAAAAAGTGAAAACACTTATTTGTAAAGATACACGTACCACTTTGTTTACTGCAGCACTACTGACAATAGTCAGGACATGGAAACAATCTACGTGCCCTTTGAATGATGACTGGAAAAACAAGATGTGGTACATATATACGACTGAATACTATTCGGCCATTAAAAAGATGAACTATTGCCATCTATGACAACATGGATGAATCTTGAGAGTATTATGCAATGAAATAAGTGAAACAGATAAGGGCAACCATACCATTTCATGCATATGTGGTATATAAAACGAAAAGCAAAAAACTATATAAACAAAAGAAACAAAAAACAAACTCATCAATACAGGCAACAGAATGGCAGTTACCAGAGTGGAAGGGGGTCAAATATGTGGTAGCTGAAGACTAGACTTCAGGTGCTGAACACACAATAAAGTATACAGATGTTATACAGGGTTTGGCACAAATAATGCCCCTTTTTATTACAAAACTTTTTATTACAAAATCATAAGCATGTAATTCTGTAACATAACATTCACACTCAAGCACACCATATGACACTTTGGATAAAATGTTCAAATTAAAACTATAAATTATTACACCAATATTACCCTGCTAACCACACTCAAGCAGGCATTACTTCTGCCAGACCCTGTATTTTAAAGTTGAAATCTAGATGTTATTAACCAATGTTACCCCAGTGACTGTAATAAAAACAAGCAAAAAACCTGAAACTTAAAAACAACCAACCCATGCCCAAAATCAAAAGAAAAAACCTGGAAGACTGCCTAAAAATGTTAAATTACTGAAGTTACATATGATCATAAAGCTGGGACTGGGATATAAAGCAAAGAGATGAAAAACTTTCAACTTTGCTGGGTAGAGCCAGTCACTCCCCGGTGTGACAGAGGGGCATTGCACTTTAAGGGAAGAGCAGTGTAAACGGGGGTGGCTCTGGTTCCCCTAACCACGCCTAGGCCCTGCTGATGCCAGGATTCCCATTTAGGTGTTCTGAGACAACATAAGGCAAGGAGGGCAACCCTTTAAACCTTTGGAGAAAAGCTTAGTTACTTCGTGGATCAATCCTGCTACTGCTCATCGGCAAGCTGATGGCGTGACTGGGAAGGGATCTTAAACAGCTGCTTCAAAATCTCCCACAACAGGTTCTGATGTTTGAAGCTTATTCTGTGCTACAATTTCTAGATTAGGCAGCTGGACACCTGCAGACCCTGGGTAGTGACTTAAAACCATAAGACATGTAACATAAAGATGGCAAAACAATAAAAAAATTGTCATGTCTTTTCTCCCAAATTTCTCCAATGCTCTAGCTAAACCTGACACCTTTCTCTCACTTCACTCACCAAATGTTTACTAAGAAATGTACCATATGAGAGATACTGTGGAGATACCAATGTGAACCAGACATGGTGGGGAACCTTAGTGCTTCCCCCTAAGTATCTAGCTTCTCAAATGGCTCTCCTCTCTCCCCATGACAACAGACCCAGTCCCTCCAGGTAGCGCAGGTCTGGAAATAAAATCGGTAATTGTTTATTTACAAAGGGATTTCTAAATTAATGGGAATAAGACTGTAGAACAATCAACAGCTTAAATCTAATTGGTAACGCAGCACGGTTAGGTTTGGGGAAGCAGGGGTCCAGGACAGGACTAAAATTCTACCGCACGGCCCTCAGTCCCTAACTCCTATCTTAAACTAGACAGTCGGGTTCTAGAGGAATCAGCAGGTAGCGCAGACAGAATGCCCTCCCCACCGCCCCCATCCCCGCACCTCACCACCCGCCCCGCCCGCGCTCCCTACTCCGGGCCTAGATTTGCTCCTCCGAACTCTCTTAGGGGGCAGCGTGCACACCGACCTGCGGGCGGGCCGCCGCTCGGCACTGAGGGAGGCTGCAGTGTGTACATTGTCTTAACCACGCTGGTCATCGTAACGAGGTGGCAAGGCTGGGCCCTGGAATGTGGAAGGTGAAAGTTACCTCGTGGTGGATCGGGGGCCCCCCAAACAGATGGAGGGCCCCCGGAGAGCGCGACACAGTCTGCCCCGGCTCAAGGAAGGAGTAGGAGAAAACTCATCCATTCCCAGCCCAACCCTTCCGCTCCCATCAGCCCAGTCCCGTGCCCCGGGAGAGCCGAACCCAGGTGCCTGCTGCTCCGGCCCGTAACCCTCGTCGTTCTGATTCAAAAAGCGCTCCGCGGCAACCGCCTCACTGCCAGGCTCAGCGGCAGCCAGGATTTCAAACGGAAACTTCCGGTGGCCGGGTGGGAGGGGCTGCGGCGCGCGTCCTGTGGGTGGCCATGTTGTACGGAAGACAATGTCTGGAGCGAAGCCTTCGGGGGCTGCCATGATGTACGGAAGGTTGGAGCCCTAGCCGGAGCTGAGCTTCCCTGCAGTGGGTTTTGGACCCCACGGGTCTTTGTTGGGGAGGGAAGTGGTGCAGGTTGCGGACCTGAATGGAGCTATGAACTACCGACGGCACATTCCAGCTTGGGACGCAAAACGTAGCCGCGTTTAGGGTCCATGTCACAGTCCTCTTTGTTTGGTCCGTGATTGTCGGGGATATTGCATGATGTCTGACAGCCGGGCGCAAAAGGTATTTCACTGGGTGTAAAATTTGCACGTTACAGGGTGGGGAGTAGCAGATGAGGTTTCAAGAGGTTCTGTGGGCTGAAAAACCTGAAGCACCTACCCTAATTCTAACTCTAATATCAGTTATCCAGATTATCTAATAGCAGTTAAGCAGAGATTCAAAGCTACTCGTAATGAACAGGGCAGAGTTCTCAAGCACTTATTGCATCATTCATTTCACTCAACAAATGTTGAGCTCTGCTATGTGCCAAGTCGCTATTCTAAGTGGACTGGTGCGGGGACAGAGGGGTAGGGCAGCAAATATCAAGACTGACCTTGGTTCTGCTCTCCTGGAGTTTACAATCTAGGAAACAGTAAACAAATAATCATATGAACTTGCTAATTGTATCTCAATTAAGCTGGACAAATGCCAAGTAAATATATATTTACCAACTGTAGTGAAACTATGAAGGAAAAATACAATGTGCTATGAGGGAGAAAAGCAGGGCAAGCAAGTTTAAACTGGGCAGTCAGGGAACACATCCCAGGATGCAAGGGTGATAAGGATAAGTGGGAGTTAATCAGATGAACAATGAGGAGGAGGTAGAAATGCAAAGTCCAGACACAGCAATGGGCTCTTCTCCTAGTTGGGACTGAAAGATGGGAGGAGAGTGATACAGTTAAAACTGGAAGAATGGCAGCCTTTGTAGGCCAAAGGAAAAGAAGTTAAACTTTATCTTAAGAGTAATGGGAAGTCACTGAAGTATTAGAGAAGGAGAGTATTCTTGAAGTTATATTTTTAAAAGCTCATTCTGGCTACCTCAGAGAATAGATTGAAGGGAGCAAGAGTGGAGCTAGGAAGACAATTGGGAGGCTACTTTAATCATACAAGTGAGAGAAGATGGTGGTTTAGCCAAGATGGTTGTGGTATGTGTGGAAATGACGAGACAATCAAATATATGTAAGACAATTTTTGGAGTCTGAATCTCAGAACTTAGTGCTAGATTGGAAGTGGGGTAGGGGGGTGGGAATAAGGGAGAGATAGATCTGAAGGACTGTAACTGTGACTTAATATGACTAGTTTAGTGATCAAAGTTATGCATTCTGTAACAAATCAAAGTGTACAATTAACCCTGTGCTTTTAATCAGCTCTGTGTTTTCACTCCCATTTGCCAAGTTCTTGTTACAGTCAAATAACCTGTTCCTGGAAAGAGGGGCGCTGACACTGACAATGAAGCAGTGGACCACAGGCATTGAGCTTAACTATATCACAAGATAACATCAGAAAGAGAAGAATGAGCCCAAGCAAGAACTGCATGCCTCCGCTTCATTCCCCCCTCCACTCGCTCCCAATTCCCTTTCTCAAGAGAAACTGCATGTCTGAATTCCAGCCTTAGGAATTCTCCCCCTCCTGAATTCCCACCAACTCACTATAAGAATCACTGGCTTGACCAGAGATGTTGAGATGGCTTTTGAGGCACGGGGCCTGCCACCTCCTTAGGTTGCCGTCATTCAAAATCAACCACTTTCCTTTGCACCAGCACCTGTCTCATGAGTTTGGCTTTGTGGTGGCAGGCAGCGGAGCCTGTGGGGATAATTTTCCTAGTTTAAGGATGATTCCCTGGCTTGAATAATTATGTTGATAGAGTCACTATTTTGTTTTTTTTTGGGGGGGGGGCAGGTGAATGCTTAGTTTTGAATTTGGTAAACTTGAAATGCCTCTGAGACATTCAAGTGTTTAAAGTAACAAGTAGGCAGTTGGAAATACAGGCTTTGAGCCCAGAGGAGAATGTAGGTTGGAGATACACTTTTAGGAATTACATGTATATAGATGCATTTAAAACCAGATATTGGAGGAGATCACCAAGGAAAGAAGTGTACAAAGAGCCTTTGGGCCAAGGACAGGGACAGAAGTGTTTAGGAGTTGCAATAAGAAGATGCCAGGCAAGAAACAGGATAAAGAGGTGCCAGAGAAGTGAAAAGAAAAAAAAAAAAGGGTGGTATCCTAGAAGCTAAGAAGGAACACGTGGTAAACTGCTGAGGGAGGGAGTGGTAAAATATTGAAAATAACTGAAAGGGTAAGTGAGATCAGAAATAGAAAGAATCCTTTTAATTTAGCAACAAAGAAGTCATTGATGAGTATAGGAAGAGAAATTCTAATGGAGAGGTTTGAGTGGAAGCCACGTTGGAACAGGTCGAAGAATACATGAGAGAGGAGGAAGAGAGAGATGGCAGGTATGGATTTAGAGTTTGTTAATGGAGTAGAGCGTTTGGGCAGTAACTGAAGGTGGGTTAGCGGGGCACATCTTGAAGATACAGATACTAGTCAATACATGTGCTGCTGGGAATGAGCCACCTGAGAGGAAGAAAAAGATGCTTCAGAAGGGGGAGGGGATGATCAAAGAAGCAAAGTCACAGAGAAAGAGGGAAGGAAGATGGGATCTAGAGCAGCATTTTCAAATTCTTCTGTTCATGGAACCCCACAAAATAATGAAACAAAAAATTATGTGCCTTCTCATCCATTTTTAGTTGATGACTAATTTTTTTCATAATTTAAAATACTGGTAAGTTCCATCCAGTAGTTTTTCATCTCCGGCATTTTAGTTTGTATCTTTCCAAGTTCAATTCTGGTATTTTAAAAATATCTTCCAAGTTTCTGCTTAGCTATGGTAACATTTAGAAAACAGTTACAATTGTTTTGATGTCCTTGTCAGGTCATTCTCATGTAAGTGACAGCTCTAGGTTGATGTCAATTGATTTTCCTCCTCAATATACGTCATATTTTTCTGCCTTTTTGCATACCTGGTAATTTTTTACTAGACTCTGGACATAGTGAATTTTATGTTTTTGGGTTCTGGTTATTTTTGTATTCCTGTAAATATTCTGAAAGATTGTTCTGGGCTGCAGTTACATTACTTAGAAACAATATGGTCCCTTCAGGTTTTGCTTTAAAGATTCGTTAGGTGGGAACAATCAATGTTTAGACCAGGACTAACGAGTCTCCACTACTGAGTCACGCATATTTTGAAAATTCTAACCAATGCTCCTTAAGTTATGAGGTTTTCCCATGTAGCTAATGGGAATAGGCAATGTTCCAGCCGTGTGTGACTAGTGGCCACTGTTCCCTCTAATCATTTTGGGTGGTTCTTTCCTTGGTCTCAAGTGGTTCCCTCACATTTATATGACGAGCAGTGCTCTGCAGAATCGTCGAGGGTTCCTTTTCAGATCTCCAGAACTCTCTCTCTGTGCACCTTTCTCCTTTCTAGTATCCTGTCCTGAGCGCTCCAGCTCCCTTGGCTGCCCCAAACCCTGAGCCATCTCCTCAGCTCAGGAAGTCTGCATGGCCTTGCCTGGGCTCTCCCCCCTGCACTGTACCCTGGAATCGCCCTCAGGCAGTCAGCTGAGCAGCGGCAGGGCCCACCTCCTTTGTTTCTTGGGCATCCGGGTCACTGTCCTTTGTTGTCTGATACCCAATGTCATCAAACTGTTTCATGTTTTTTCTTTCTGTTTGGTTGTTGTTTCAGGAAAGAGAGTAAATCTGGTCCCTGCTACTTCATCTTGGCTAGAAGGGGAGGTTGTATATGTACTTTAAATATGTTTTGTTCAAACCATGAAGCATTAGATTTAAATGAATCCACTTTTGAAAGATATCTACCATGTATCTTATTGGCAAAGCCAGGCCTCTATGTCAAGCCCATCAGCCAAATCAGATTGACTTTCTATTAGAAAAAGCCTGAGTTTTTTATTTAAATTTTTTTGTTTTTAATTTTTTTTCAATTCAAATAATTCGAATTAAATGAGGAAGGCACAGAACCGAGCTATAAGGATGCCCCTTTTGAAAATTCTTATAGAAGTTCTCTAGACTTTGCTTTCCCAAGGACTTGCTCAAGCACAGCATTCTCAAGTAGCCCTTTTTTTTTTTTCCTTTTCCTTTTTCTTTTTGTACTGCAGAGTGAGTTGCCAGAGTAGGGTTCAAAATGAAGGAAGTGGTCAACTGGGAAAGTGGAGATAGAGAACTGACTGACCTAAGGCTCCTTCTCAGGCTGATCAATACAAAGAAAGGAAACATGTGAAGGACGAAGCTCTGAAAGTCGATTCCGTTAAAACTGTCTGTGTCCACATACCTTTTAGAAAGTCTTCAGGTCCCTGTGGAAACGCAAGCCCTCATTTGAAGGCCCTGGGTGCAGTGTGTGAAGTCATAGATGGTACCGTTACTGCTTCCTTTGTTGTAATGGAAGGGATGGGGAGAGAAGTAGGCAGGAGCAGCGGTAGGTAAGTTGGAGACCTGAAGCCTTGAAGGTGAGTAAATTTCCAGTTTTCTTTACAAAGAATGAGTTGTCTACTGACAGGGGGGTTGCAGAAGGTGGAGGTGGGTATCAGATACTTGAGGAAGGTAGAAAAAATATGAAATGGTCCTTACAAAGAATGGAAACTAGTAATTAGAATGGAAACTAGCTAGGCAGGGCTGAAGGTCCAGTTGGAGGTTGGTGGTCATGAATTCAGACCTACATCAATCTGCCCCACTGTGTGATTTTCTTTAGCAATACTAAAGTTCTTATTCGATGTTTGTGCATTTGGTAAGACCCTTATCTTTCCTCTCTATTGAGGGTTTCCGTGAATAATCACAAAGAGGCCTGATAATAATTTTAAGTTTATCAAGGTCGTTCCCAGGCTCTTTAGTACAAGGTGGCTTTGGACTGCCAGCCATTTACATAGAACATAATAGCTTTCTTTTGTTTCTCATCTTCCCAGTGAACTGCATTACAATTTCTTCTCTTAAGCATAAACACCTCCAGACCTTGAGTTACAGTCACCCCTGTGGACAAGGGAGAGGGTAGAAAGGGTGAGGAATGTCTGTTTTTCCTGTTCCCAAGCAAAGAGGATCTTGATGCATGGCCTGGGGTGCCAGAGAGCTTGTCAATGCCCACGTGTGTTATCAAAGGCTGAGATAAGGCCACCATGGAAGAAAAGATCAGAAACTCTCTGGATAATGGGCGAAGGTTGTAAATCAGTCAACGCATTATCCTCTTTCCTGATACCCCTCACCTGCCTCCCTGTCCTGCTGTATACTGGGGGAAAAAATGAAATGAGTTGGAGGGAGCTGAGGAAGTTTGGCTTATAAACCTCTTATGAGATGTCTCTTTCAGACTCAGGCTCAGGCTGGGATATTGACTAAATATTATGGTATGGGATATGCCGTGTGCCAGAATAATCTAACATTCTTCCAGTCACATCAGTCTGTGCCTACCACTGTCATCAAAGCGCCACAGCCATGGAAGGATGGGCTTTCCCATTGTCACAGGCTATACCAAGTTACATTTTTAAAATATGGCACACATACCCTGAATGTGAGCTCAAGCATCTGTGGCACAAATAGGAGAAGGACTCTCAATTCCCAAATGAGTGTTAACATAGTTCTATTTTAAAGTGTCTCAGCGTTAAGAAACCATTTCTTGAATTTTCCCGAGCAAACATGAACGCTTTGGCCGGTCTTCCCCCGCCTCACAGCATGCTTGCAAGCCTCTCCCCACCTGGGTCCGGGGCCACACTCTCACCATAACCACCCATAACAATCATAAAGTGAATAGACCTGCTAAAGTCAAAGGAAACTGAAAATGCTAAGTCCTGCTTTCCAACACTGGGGCTAGAGAGGTGGGCTGAATTACCCACTGAAGAGGGGTGCCTGCTGTTGGTTTGGGCCATCCTTGTTGCAAGGTGAAGTGTTTTGATGGCCACTGGATTTTTCCAGTCCTTTGGGCCTGGAGGCAGAAAGAACAAATCCAGTCAGCACCTCAACTGCTCTGGCTCACCTGCCTTCCTATAGGGTTTTGTGGCCATGGCCTGCAAGAATGAGGCCCAGAATCCCTGAGGGGGCCTTGGGTGTGCCCGCACCCCCAGTGACCCGCCACCCCATGCTAGAACATTTCGGTGGTTGTGTTCAGGCAAAGTATTTGAAGCGCCAATGTTTTCCTTTGTCAGATACAAAAAAGGGTGTAGGGGAGCAGGTTCTTTTGGTCCAGGTCCTTGCTGTCCTCCCACAACATGGGGCCAAAGAGACTTGGTGAGTTGCTGAGAAGCAACTAAGATGTTGGACTCTCTTTTGAGTCAAGGCCAGACGTCTGCTCATGCTTAGGAGGAAGGGCTCACCCATCCTCCCCTAGGATGGTGATTGTCCCAGGGGAGCCCAGGGCTCTCCCAGCCTGGCTGTGTGATAACAGAGGGACACAGTCCTTGGTGCAGAGAAGGCAGGACCCCACGAGCAGCCCTAGACCAGAGAGGCCGAATTCTACTTGGACATGGAGAGACGTCCAAGCAGATCCCTCAGGGAGCAGGTCCAAGTTACATCCCCGTCATCACCCTCCCTTCCTAGGAGTCAAATACATTTCATTTATTTATCTTGCAAAGTATTCTGTCATTCCTGTCCACGGTCTTCTATGTCTTCCACAACGTCCATGTCTCGTTGGGGTTTCTGTCCCACCTTTCATGGGTTACTTGTGGTGGATGGTGAGTCTCAATAATACAGAAAAAAGCCAAACAAAACCAAACACTCCTTGACTTGTCTCCAGCTCAGCCACAGACTGTTCCTAGAAAACTCTCTTCCCCTCTGTGATTCTCATCTGTAAAATGGCCTGAATTAGGGGTTTTCACACCAAATTCTGTGGAGCCTTCAGGAGCTTGAGGGTTCCCCAGGGCTTCCAGGGAGGCACAGCAGAAAGAGAGGCTCTATATCCTCCCACCCAGCACCCACCAGAGTAGCTGCTTTTTATCTGTCTTATATACTGTGTTCCCATACAAGGAATCTTTGAAGAAAGGGTCCTGAGGTTACCAAATTTGAAAACTCCTGGAATGGATGATCATTAAAGTTCCTTCCAATCAGATACTTAGACTTCTGAAGCCCAGCTCAAGTCGTTCTTCTTCCAGAAAGCCTTCCTGCTTACCCAGTCTCAGGTACTTGAGCTTCAGCAATACTGATAGTGACAGGCATATGTCCCTCAGAGACCCACTGATGTCTGCATGGACATGCGAACCATTTCCCCAGTTAGAGGGTGGGCTCCTCGAGGGAAGATGTTGATTCTCCTTCCATATCTCTGCCTCCTGGTAGTGCCAAATGCAGAGCAGGTATTCCGTAGGCTTGCTGATGCTCCCAGTGTCATGAGCTCTTACATGGGATCAAACCTTTCAGAGAGACTCATTGATTTAGCAGGGAGGAATCAACCTTTGGTCTGCTGATCGACCCATCCTTAGGAAGCTGGGGACCCTCCCTGGAGAATAGCTTCAGGTCCACGTAGTCCCAGAAAGGGCAGCCCTGAGTTCTTGCCTTAGTTGAACTCTGCTCCACCTCCACTGTCCCCAGTGTCTCTCCTGGCAGGGACTCTCCATATACTGTGGCCATGGAAGAGGACGCCACTGACTCTGAACCTGGAAGTCGGGGTAGCCAGGGTACCCCATGGCCAGTAGGCGTCTCAGCCGGCTGATGCGGAAGAACTCCAGGCTCGCTCAGAGCACAGCTCTCTCCGGAGATGGAGGCCTAAAAGGAGGCTGGAGGAGAGCTTACTCAGAGACACCTGAGAAGGCAGGTCACAGGAGGGTGCTGGGGGTGAAAGATCAGGAGAGCCACAGACCAATGTCCTTGGGGTAGGTGACGAGGAGGAGAGTGGGAACTGCAGTGGTGGAGTGAGTGTGGAAACCTGCTCTGTCATTAATGAGCTATGTGACTTTGGGCAAATCACTTCACTTTACTTATTTTAAACATCTTTACCTATGAATTGGAGGCAAAAGAACGTGGCCGACTGCAGGCTACCCCATAGTGAAATGACAGCCCAAGGAGACAACAGGAACAGAAGTGTTCTGTAAATTAAAAGAGGCAGGGATGGAAAGGACTCTGATTGTTAACAGGGGAGACCACTCTTCCCTGCCACAGCAGCTTCCTAGGAGGGACCAGCCTGCCACATCATAGGGATGGCCCGAGGCTGACCAGCCCTCCTCCTTCTGCTCCTCCCATCTCTGCCTGGCCTTGTGAACTTCTGGTCAGATTGGGGTACATGAAGGGGGAAGGGCAGTTCAGGACAGAGTCCCCAGCCCAATTCTGGCACAAAGAATCTCCCCAAAGAGATTCTGATAAAGAGCTCCTGGAAAGTGTGAGGCCCCGGAGGCTGCTGCGATTCCCCAGGACTCTTTTGCTCAGGGTGGGTCCTGGTTGGCACTGTGGGGGCACAGAAGCCTTCAGCAGGTCACAAGGAGAGCTTGGCATTTCCCTCCAAAGACTTTGCCCACTGAATTCTCCAGACACCTGGCAGGGTTTAAAGTCCACAGCTGGAGGGTGAGACCTCTCCATGCTGACATGGGGAAGTACCATCAGGCTCCAGCTGGATGGCTGTCCCTGCCTTGTCATCCCTGACAGGCTCTGTACCCTGGTCTGGCCTCCCTGGGCCTCCCTCAGCTACTGTAGCCTGAAGTATGGGTGCTGGGTCTGCGCAGCCAAACATCTGGCAGATCTGGCTGGCTGTTGGGCAGCACAACAGGGCTGCCATCCCCGGGCCCCCCACGGCCCTTCCAGGACGAGCTGCTCTGGTGGGAGGCAGGCAGTGATGGGTCGTACACAGTCTCCTTCAGCGCCAGCCACAGGGTGTCCCGCTTCCCGTTCAGCTGGCCCCGCTCAGGTACTGATTGCTCAGTTTCATCCAGGTCCTCTGGGGAGGCACCCATGGAATCTGGCACACGGGCACTGGGCTCAGAGGTGCTTAGGCAGGTCTCGTCGGAGACGCTGAGCCCCTCCAGGGTGCTGGCTGAGGAGCAGAGGCAATCAGGTGGCTCTGCGGCTTCAGGCTCCGGGGCGTGGTCTGGGGCGTCTGGTGAAGCTTGCGCAGGCTCAGCTTTCTGTCCTGGGGAGTCCTGCCCGGCCTGGTTTTTGGGGCTGGGGCCAGCCTGCTTATAAGGGGAGGAGGTCTGCAGGGCTGGGCACTGGCTGAAGACTGCCTTGTGGTCCAGGAACAGCTCCCTTGGGGAGACAGGGGCCGGTGGGGGACGGGAGCAGCAGGGGCCGTCATGCAGCTGTAGATCCTCGGAGAGCACTGAGGGCCGGTGGGACAGTTTGCTGGTGGCTGTGCTGGTGTCAAAGCTGGGGCTCCGGCGCCGTGCCAGGGGCTGTAGCTCATACTGCTCTGAGCAAGAGCCGGGCGCCCCTCCTGATGGCCCTGGCCGTGGGCGGCCTGCTTTCTCGCCCCGCGTCTCCCCCGTTCCAGCATCCCACGGCAGGTGGGCACAGGGCCAGAGGATCTGACCACAGTTCTTCTCCGGTCCAAAAAAACAGCAGAGAGATTGGAAGAAGAAGCTGGCAAAGCCACAGCTGACGCACTTGACCATCATGAGGACAATGCCCAGCTTGCGATAGAGCAGCACTGTGGCAGGCAGCATGAGCACACCAGCCGCAAACAGGGCTGCAGCCCCCATGGCCGTGGCGCAGCTGGTCTGACGCAGTGAGAAAGCCACGCGGCTCAGGCGGTCGGGGTGTGGGCACAAGTGATAGGAGATGCAGTAGTTGACAGTGAAGTCTACCGAGAGGCCCACAGAGGCAGAGAGAAAGAGTGCCTCAGCAGTGTTGAGCTGCCACTCAAGTAGAACCAGGAGCCCCACGGTGAGCAGTACAGTGCCTGCCACAGCTGCCACAGAGAACAGGCTAAGTGGGACATTCCAGGTACCCAGCAGCAGTGTGGCAAAGGCCAGCGCCAGAGCCAGGCCCAGCACCACAGCAGGCTCGGTGCTCAGGCTGTGCTGAAGGCTGTACAGCTCCAGCCGGCTGGTGAACCAACCTTGGCGGAGGCCGGGCGGTGCCCTGCGCAGCTCTGCTGCCAGCCAGTGGCTGACCTCAGTGTAGAAGCGGTGTGCCTGGTTGTAATCTGGACTATACTGGAAGTTGGTCTGGAACTGTAGGACCAGGGCAGTCAGGCTGCCCTGGGCATTGAAGCGGGGTCCCAGGTCACGGGAGCTCTCCGGGCCTTGCTCCAGAGCCATCATCTTGAGGCAGTGCAGGAAAAGCTGGGGTGCCCAGGGGAAGCCTGAGTGGCCGCAGCAGAGGCCAGGCCCCAGGCGGGCACAACCAGGGCTCTCCATCCAGTGCTGGAGGGTCTCCACGAAGCACACTGTGGGCCAGCCCTCGGGCTGGGCACCAAAGAAACTCTGATTCCGAGTTCTGTGGCAGAGGGTCAGCAGCCAGCGCTGGGCCTCAGGGCTGCTGGCTGAGAAGGCAGGGTCACTTACCAGCGAGCTGTTGCTGCGAGGGTCCAGGGGGTCCCCAGTGTCCACAGGCAGGATACCCCACACTAAAGCCACGGGCATGTGGCCTCCCTCGCCCTCAGGTAGCAGCTCGAACAGGAACTGCTGGCGGTACTCTGCATCGAAGCGCTCGAAGGGATGGCTGGGTCGGAAGACCTGGCCGCGGGGCGGTGGCAGGGTAGGCAGCCGAAGGCGGGGGCTGACACCGGCGATGTAGGCGCCCCCTGCCGCCAGCGCCGCGAACCAGCAGATCCAGATGTAGCGGAACTTGATGACGCCGCAGGGCAGGAGGCGCTGGAAGAGCAGGCGCGAGGTGCCGGCCGCGGCCCTCCGAAGCCCGCGGAGCCTCCGGTGCAGCGCCAGCGCTAGCCGCCGGGGTGCGCTGCCGGCCCACGGGCCCTGCGCCCGGGCCGCACAGCCGCGCGCCAGGTAGCGCTCATGAAGCACCGCGGAGGAAGGCAGCCAGGCCAGCGTGAGCGCCAGGTGCGCCAGCACAGCTGTGCCCATGTAAAGGGCGAAGCAGCGCACGGCTGGGAGACGGCTTAAGTAGCTGGCGTAGAAGGCCGCGCTGGTGGTGAGTCCGGAGACCAGCAGCAGGTAGCCGAAGTGGTGCATGGTGCGGCCCACGCGCTGCGCCAGCCCTCCAGAGGGCAGCTGGCTCTTGCTGAGACGCCAGAGATCGAAGAAGATAAGAGTGTGGTTGATGCAGACGCTGCTGAGCAGGACGAGGGCCGCCAGATTGACGAAGGGGAAGTAGGCCATTCGAAAGGCCACTCGGTAAAGAAAGAAGGCCACCAGCAGGGAGCCCAGCACCCCTAGCAGCACCATGAACGTGAGGAAGAGAGAGCGCAGGTAGAGGGCAATGCTGAGGAAGATGGCAACCAGGGCCAGCAAGGGGTACACTGTATCCTGGGCCAGGTAGTGCCTCAGCAGCTCCTGCTTGAGGCCCAGGTCCATGCCGGTGATGGACGTGTAATTGTCTGAGAGCTCCCAGGGGGTGGCTAAGCGGTCCAGGTAGATGCCCATCATGGAGGCACCCTTTGGGGTGGGCAGGAAGAGCAGGCTGTACTTGAGGGAGGGCACCTGGTAGTCAGCAGTCTGGGGACTCAGAAAGTCCCTGTCCAGCAGAAAGTGCAGAAGTTGGTATATGGCACTGCTCCGGGAGCACTTGGTGGGTACCTGGGAACAGCGTGGGGGCTTATCCTGCCCCGGTCCCAGACAAGAGGGTACCAGGGCACCACGGTGGTAGTAGAGGGCACAGGCCCGAAGCAGGGCCAGTGTGTGCGCTGCGTCTGCTTGAGTGGTGTCCAGGCAGGAGGAGCGGTTGGAGAGCACGGCCACGTAGTTGCCCAGGGACCAGCTGGGGCAGCACTCGTTGGCAGCTGTGCGCTGGCACAGAGCCCCGAAGTGAGTATGGGAGCGGATCTATAGGGCACGGAGAGCAGGAGAGAGCTCAGGGGCAGTGCAGGGGCCCAGGTTCCCCCAGACCCGCCCAAGGCCCTCTCACCTCCTTTCGGGCGGCAGGGCAGAGGCAGATAGGTATCCCAACAGCCCAGCAGAACTGGCTTGACTCAGGGCTGCCTTTGGCTCTTGGCCCAGGTGTCAGCAGTTACATTTTGACCCCATCAAAGAGGAGCTGCAGAGACACTGCTGAGGCCCCAGCCTGAGAGGTCCTGCCCTACGGGCCCCTGCAGGTCACACACCCCAACTCTGCACTGCCTGAGCCGGGAGTATGAGTGGAAGTGGCAGCCACAGATGGAACAGGGTCAAAGGTCTAGGAAAGTGGAAGCAAACAGAGAAGCGGAGGCTAAAACATTCCAGGATCAGGGTCACTGCCAAACCCTAGCCCCTTCCCTCTGTCTGCTAGGCTGTTTAACCCTCTTAGGCACAGCACTGTTTCTTTTTCAGACCTCCTGCTTCCTTTTCTCTCCCCCTGCTGTTGACATCACAATGGCTGGTACAGTTACAGAGAGCACCTGTCTGGGAACCAGAGGCTCTGTTCTGCTACCAACTGGATGTATGGCCTTGGGTCTGAGATCATGGTGACAATAGTAACATTTATTGAGCAAATACTATTGTCAGTCATTATGTTATAGTTTAACAAATTCCATCTTAATTGTCACAACATCCCTATGAGGAAAGTACCATTCTTATCGCATTTTATATGTACAAAGACTGAGGCACTGAGAGGTTAAGAAACATGCCTGAGGTCACACAGCTTGAGGGAGGGCACCTGGTAGTCAGCAGTCTGAATTCAGCTAGGGAGTATTAGAGATGGCCTTGAAATCAGGCATCTGCCTTCAGAGCACCTGTTCTTAACCAGTGTCTTTGGCACTTTGGACACCCTTCTGTGAAGTGAGTGGCTTGGGCCACTTTGTGGCGTTCACACTGTTTTTAACAGCAAACCCTTCCGTGGATGTTATGGTGTGTGGTTGTCTAGTCAGCAACGATTGCACTGGCACTGCTTGGATTGATTGGGGCTGGGGGCCTTGGGCGGGGGCCACCTTCACAGACCTTGAGGCTCCTTTTCAGGACCTTCAGGAAATCCCCAAGCTCTGTATGTTCTGTCTTCCAACATTTGTGTTTTGGCTCTTCTGAAAACAGCTGACTCTTCTTTTCCTACCCCAACCTGGAGCCTTTCAGCTGCATTGGAATAATTTTCTAAGCAGGGAACGCTCTTCCCCAGTCCACCCTGGCAGTCCTGGCTCAGTGGTGTTTCCTTGGTGTCCTTGTTCCCCTGCACCACACCCAGCCCCTGATACCTCCCCAGCCAACTCACCCGGTCCTGTTCCATGCGACACATGGAATGGATGGCATGTAGGTTCCACAGGCTGCCCGCTGAGGTGGACATGAACACCAGCTGTGCGTAGCTCTTTTCTGCAACACACGCCCCAGAGTTCAGCCCTTTGGCCCCAGATCCTGGGCCTACCAAAGGAAAGATTCTTACCCAGAGCCATATATGGTTCAGATTCTCAGGAGCTTGAAACCTGTTCCTGGCTGCCTCGTCCTGGGCCTGCATCCCAGCTCTTGTGCCCACCCACACCCAGCTTGACCCTACCTGGCAGGATCACCTGGGAGCTGCCTCATCTTCCTAGATATAACCCAACTTCCTTGGCTTGAATGTGGCCAGCTGGCCTCCTTTCCTTTCTGTCTGCTCAAATTTGTTCTCCTGGGCCCTTCTGTTCTATGAGGTGGGGTGGGGACCCCTAGTAAAGCCAGTTCCTGGCTTTACCAGGGGGTAAAGCTGAAGCTTACCAGGGGGGCCACAGAAGAAACTTTCTTGCCCTCTGTCCTCTAGGGGCTCCACCATCCTCCGGGGCCGGACCATGCCCTCCTGGGCACTGCTCCAGGGTTCAGGGCTCAGGGTGGTATGTGGGTTTGAGCTGAGGTACAGAGAAAACCAATGCCAAGCACCGTCAAGGGGTGGGGTGCTCAGAGGAGGCTATGCATTACCCCCCAGAGGTCCCCAGCAAGCCCCTCTGACTTGCCTTTGGGGAGGTCACTTGATGGCCTCTCCCTAGACACCTCATTTTTTTCTTCCATTTCCCCCAATGGTGTGGAAAGATGGGAACCCATTACCTGTTCAGCTCAAGGTCTGGGGAAAGGGAAAGCAGCTTCCTGGGGCCCGTGAGGGTCTGCAGTGCTCTCCAGACCACTAGCTTGCGCCCAATATCTGTGTCCCGAGGCTCAAAGCCCTGTAGGGGGAAGGCCGAGAAGATCAGGCAAGCAGGAGGCGAGGTTTTCCGTCTGGCCCTTCTCGGCTCTACCCCTTTGGCTCCCCGGAGCAGGGAAGGCCAGCCTGCCTGCCTGGATTGCTGAACAAGAGTATCACCTCTATACCATCTTCCCTACACTCTCTGTGGGCTGAGAGCCCACCACTGCCACCCCATCCCCAGCTGGGCCCCTCCACCTTGTTGCCCCTGACTGAGCTGGGGTGGCCAGATGTGGAGGCCTCCTCCCTCCCCTTGGGTCCTCACCAGCAAGGGCGTGGAGAAGTCGGGCAGGTGGCTCCCCAGGAGTCCAACCAGGGTGCAGAGGAGGATGACAGCTAGACACAGCAGCAGCACTGCCACTGGCCACTCAGCAATCAGCTGGGAATAGCTGGGAAAGAGGAAGACAGCCCGCATGAATTAGTGTTGCCTGTGGTGGCAGGGGCTGGGTGAGCTTAGGAGCCACCCAGAAGGGGTGGTGGGGCTATACTGGGCACAGCCTGGCCACCCTAGGGGTCAAGAAAAGGCCTAGGCCTACCTCTTTGGCATCCGGAAGGCCTGTTTCTGCCTGTGGAATAGAAGGAAAGACACTTACTTGCTTGCCAAAGTCCTCTTATAGGGTGGGACGTGGGGGTAGGGAGGTAGAGGCATTAACCCTTTTAGGCTTTCCCACACCACACCTACAATTCTTCCAAGCTCTCTATCCAAGCTGCCTCCTTCATCAGAGGCAGAGGACATCCTGGACTGCCTCCTAATGATGGAGTCCAGAGCCCAGGGGATTGGCCCCACTTTTTAGCCCTGCTTACCTTCCAGTGGCAGCTGGCAGGCTGCCGAACCCCCTCTTACCTGACGCTGACCACATGGCGTTGCACAGATGGTGGCTTCCAGGCTCCATCGTGCTGTGACGGGGCTGGGGAAGGGCTGAGGCTGGAGCCATGGGAGCACAGAGCTGCCCGGTCCCCAAGCCCTGGCAGGGAACTGCCCCCCCGGGATTCCTGTGGTGCCCGGGCATAAGTGAAGTGGGCAGGGGCCAAGGGACTGGATGGGCCCACAGGCTGGAGGGTAGAAGTTGCTGGTGGAGGTCCCGAAGAACTGGAAAGGTCCTCTAGGGGGCAGCTGTGGAGGGAACAGCTTCTTTCTGGGCTTGCCTCAGGGGCCACATCCTTGCTCTGGGACCTGGGGGGAGAAGAGATGGGGAAGATTGGGGTGGGGCACATTGGTAGGATTTTTCTATTGCTAGTCCTGGGGGAGAGGCAAAGAGGATGGGGGCTGTGTGTCTACATCCCCTGCCTACCTCTTAGGGTCCATTGTCTTATTCACTCATACACTAAAAAAAAAAAAAAAAAAAAAAAAATTATTGGCAGCCTGCTATACGCCAGACACTGTGCTAAGCAACAAATGTGATTTTACATGTATGATCTAATTTACTCTTTACAAAAACCTACTGAAGAAGTGCTTTCCTTTATAGATTTGAAAACTGAGGTTCAGTGAGATGTGAAGAGCTGGGTCCTGAACCCAGTTCTAGTCCTGGGCTCCTTCTGCTACTGTCATAGTTCATTCTCTTTTTAGACATTTATTGAGCACCTGCTGCACTGTTGTCCCTACAGAGCATTGCTCCTTTCCCAGATAATTGCATGGTTCACACTCTCTTTATTCCATTATCAGTTCAACAACTACCTTTGCAGAGAAGCCTTCCATGACTACCCTCTCAAAAGAATCACCTACCAGTTCTCCATCCCCCTACCTGCTTTATATTTCTTCAGAGCATTTGCCACAACTGGACGTTATATTATAGTTGTCGTGTTTATTGCCTGTCTCTCATATGGAATGTGAGCTCTGGGAGAGCAGCGGCCCGGTGCGTTGGTACATCTCTCCATCCTCAGTGCCTTGCACACAAGAGGTTCCCAGAGAATGTTTGTTGAATGAATACTGAGAGCCAGAAAGGCTGCTAATAGTGGTGCTAGGATAAAGAAGGCCCAGTCCTTGTCCTCTAGGTACTCACAGTAGGTGGGAGATATGGACAATCTACCATGCTGGGTGCTGTGAGAGAAGAAGTCATAGGGGGCTGAAGGAGCCCAGAGGAGGGCCCGACCGTCACAGGGCTGGGGGCAGTCAGGGAGAGTTTGGCAGAGGCCGCTGCTGCTCTTCCACCAACGTTGAGCCATGGGAAAGAACGTTTGTTTTGCAAGGGAATGCATAGATGGGAAATGGAGTTTGGACCCCGAAGGAACTTGCTAGGGAGGAGTCAGAAATAGATTCCTCTTCCAAAATTCCTAATGAAGGCAGGGCTCAGTGTAGGGACCCAGCCCCACTCCTTCGGTGTGGGGGTAGATGGATCCCACCCCAGTGATGGGATTGCCAGACCCAGGATAAGAGAACGTGGCCACAGAACAGAGTGGGGAGCTCCCTAGGGGTTCTGGGATGGGCAACCTTGGCATAGCCCTGTCTCTTTCCCTCCATCTCCCTGGCTCACCTGGCTCATGAGAGCCTGCAGAGCTCCCTGGAGCGGCCAGGTGTATACTGAACCAACAACCCTGGCTTCGAGTCCTGCCAGCTACACTGCTGAAGGGGCTGTGGGTCAGAGTCCTGATGCAAGTGACCATAGCCCACAGAGGCTGGGCTGTGCCTAGAGGCCAAGTAAAAGAACTGGAAAGAATAGGCAAGCTCATCCTCTTCCTCCAAGAAGGCTGGCTGGCATAGCAGTTGGGGGAGGATGGCCCTTTTGCTCAGAATAAAATGGGGGAAGCGGTGGAGGTGTGCTCCTGGCTCCATCATCCTTTAGCTCTGGGACCTTGGGAAAGGCACACAATTCTTGGGGCATTGGCATCCAAGTCGGCTGTGTGAGGATGTGATAGTGACTCCTCCCAGGTTTGGTATTAACTGATATAACATATGTGAGGTGCCTGGCATGGAGCCTGGCATGTGGAAGACACATTTGCTTTCCTGCCCCTTCTCACACTTGGGCTGCAGGGAACATGTAGTCTAAGAAGCATATTTTTTTTCTTTTTAAGAAGCATATTTATATCTACAATTTGGCCTCTTTAAGCACCTCAGATAGTAAATCTCTATTTGAGGACTCCTCATACCTTGAGAATCTCACTACATATATAATTATAAATGCTTTCCTTTTTGTTATCCCAAAGCTGCATCAGAATTTGATCTCATGATTTAAACCACTGATATTTGTTTTTTACTAACTTAACATTTAGAAAAATAGGAATTTGAACAAAATTGTTTTAAATCAAGACCTCAGATAACACCATAAAGTTAATAACATAGCAACCAGTACCCTTGCAGTTAAAAGATCTTTTGGGCCCATCACCATGGACCAAAAAGAAGCTGGATATATGGCCTGCGTTTCTGTGTATAAGTGCGGGCATCTACCTCTTTAAGATTTTTATTCTGCAGGTGTTTTTTTGAGCACCTACCACATGCTGGGCACTGCTCGGTCTAAGTTGAATCCTGAAGGCATGAAGATGACCCATGAGTCTTGGTTTCCCTCTTTAGGGTGGGGCCTGCCTTCCAGAGGTCAGGAGAGTGGGGCAACCAGGGCATCTATTCTAACTTTCCATTGCTTAAAACACTCACTGAACACTGGACTTGTCCTAGGAGCCAGGCTCCTGCTTGTAGTGTCAGCTTCTTTTTCATTAAGAAGGTGCTAGAGGAGAACATAAGCATGTTCCCTTTACCAGTTTCCAAACCTTAAGCCCAATTCCTTCCTTAGGTGGCTTCTGTTCAAGGGGGATTCCGGCCTCTACCATTGGTTTGCTTCTACTGAGGTCTTCCTGGCCCCGTCTTCTTCCTTTTAACCCCTTCTTTCCTCTCCAGGGACCAAGGATTAGTTGTTCCCAACTCTCACTCTTTTTGACTGTGCCCGTCATTATCAATATGGTAGAATCTGAAATCCTCCAGATTATGACTGCTGCAGGACCGGGCTTTTGCCTCAACTCTTTCAAGGAGAACAGCCAAACTCTTCTTAGAATAAAAGCTTTCTCTTGCCAGCCCTTGCTGCCCTCCATTCTCAGGAGACCTAGTAATAACGTGAGTTAAGCACTCCAGGCCTTGCCTCCCCAGGGGGCTTTCCTTCTCACCCTCTCAGCTCCATGGCTCTGACTGGGATGAGCAGCTTCCTCGGCTGCCTGTCTGGACCCGCTGGCCTGTAAGCCAAGGAAGTGATTGAGGAGGGCAGGCAGGGGAATGGACAGTAGTGACGCAGACCTCCTTAAGGGGCCAAAGTCACAGCAGTCAGTGCCTAGCTGACGGGGCCCCAGACAGAGACCCCACTTGGGACCCTCATAAGGGACAATGTATATGTCATCAACCTTGCCCCCAAGCCCACAGACACGTAGCCATATGGACATCCATGTGATCCTGCAGAGTGGCCAGGATAGATAGGGAAGTAGCTCACACCACTAGGAAAATAAAACGATAATTTTAAAAACAAAGAATGAACTATCTCAATTTGCTCTGTAGTCAGTGTGTTAGTAAAGGACTGTGTGTGTGCACATCATCATATTCACTGTGTATCTATCCTCAGAGTTCTACGTAGCTCAGCAGGAGCATATATGTGTTTTTGAATTTAAGTGAGTCCCTTTGCCTGATTAGTATCCAGGGTCTCTGGAGAAGTATAGAGAGGGGCCAGAGGGCCCAGGAGTTTTTAGAGGAGAGAAAGTAGTTCTTGTGCCCAAGAATGGCCCTCATGTGCAGGGGAAGCAAGCAGACCAGACAGGGTTCATCCTTGGCAAAATATCCAAGGAAGAAATGACTTTCCAGCACCTTCTAGGGAGGCTTCTGGCCCCAGATCCCTGCTCTGTCCTGTCTACCTCTGGCTCTTTTGTCAAGCCATGGTCCCACGCAGACCCTGGTCCAGGGAACACATCCATCCTGTGTCCCATCTCTTTGAAGAGATCCCTGTGACTTCCATAAGAAAGCGTGACTAAATCTGTCCAGGCTGATGTGTTGTTAACAATACAGGGAAGAAAATATTTCACTTGTGGGGCTCCTCTTGCTCTAAGTACAGAATGCACATTTTAACTGAAGCAGTCTGGAGACCATGTGTCTATCTCTGCTTTTTGCCTCCAAAGAATGCCTCTTATTTTAGTCCAGGCAGAATAGAAAGGCAGTGTCATGTCAGGGGAAGGATTCTGGAGGTGGCAGACCAAGCAGGGCACAGAAATTGCGCCATATTGCTACCTGGCTGGGCAGTCCCTCACACATATGGTGGAGGAAGAGAGAGGATAGGCACCAAGATCTGGGCTTTCAGCCGAAAGGTGTTCTTCCTGTCCTGCCAGCCTGGGGCTCCTTTAGGGTTGGTTCTGACTGTAGCCTGAGCCTTCGAGCCTGCCCACCTTAGTGCTTTCTGTGAGTGCAGGTAGACGCCACATGCAGGGACTGTGGCCCACACGTGTGCAGTTGGCCATGCAGAGCAGAGTGGAGATGATGGTGATGGACAAAGACAGTCCCTGGCGTGGCCACCGAGTATCTGCCCTCCCCATGACACACACCTTGGCAAACCTTCCATCTGCGATACACACGCACCCTCCAGCCCACTGACACACAGGAGCCCAGTCTGAGGTTGCCGCAGGCTAGGGACTTACAGAAGAGATGCGAGGGGCAGGGTTTAGAGGGAGGGGCTCGGAAGGCCAGAGGGAGGGAACCCCGGGCCTTAGAGGGTAAGGTTGGAACAGTGGGTGGGGCAAGAACCCAGGGCGGTGAGGGCGAAGGTGGGGCTGATGGTAGGGGGTAGCCGGGAGAAAGAAAATTGACTTGGCAGAACGAGGGCGTGGCCAGGGGGCCTGGAGGGTGGAGGCGCCGGAAGAGGCTCTGAGAGGGGCTAGAGAATGAATGGGGCGATGTATGGCGGCTACTGCGAATACCTGGGGCGGGGGTGCTGGGAAGGTCTGTGAGCTGGGTCTGGGGAGGTTTCGCCCTACCTGTCCGGGGAGCTGCCATCTGGGGCCAAGGGCTCCCCTTCGGGCCGCTGCTCCCCTTCCGGACCTGGGCCGGGAGCCGGACCGCTACCGCTGCTGCAGCTACCTCCGTCCATGCCCGTGGGCGGCGCCGCTGTCCGGGCGCTGGTGCTGAATTGGTGGCGGTGGGGGGCTTCTGCGCATGCGTAAGCACCGGGCGTGTTCGCTGGGCGGAGCCGAAGAGAATCCCAGCCAATGGGCGTGGCGCCGGAGGCGGGCACAGAGGCTTCCCGCCGCTCGGCTGCCTGGAGCTGTAGACTTGCTGTCTTTAAGACCCCTGGGCTGGTGGGCTGGTGGGCTGGTGGGCTGGTGGGCTGGTGGTGTGGGCTCCTCTAATCACGCCAAGTCTCAGAGCTTCTTTTGGGAGTCTGGCCTTCTGGCTGCAGTCAGTACATTGGCTTTTCCTGACTGGTACGGTCTTTCCGTAAGGAACCAGGAAGCGCGACCCCCAAGATTGCATCAGGGAGCCTCACAACCTGAAATGCAGACTTTTTCAGTGGGAAAGAAGGAGTAGCTCCACGCCTGCATTTCACAACCCAGGACAATGAGGGGTCGAGAGGTCGGATGACTTTAGTCCCGCATGCTTCTCGGCTCCGTTCAGGCAACTGCTCAAGCTGGGTCTTCCTTCACGTTCATCTGGATCTGGACCTGGACCTGAGTCTGTTCCCATCAGACTCCATGGAACCTCAATTCCGTTATTCAAGTGTGGCTATGGTGGGGAGGGGAGGGGGAAGAGAGATAGTCAGAGAATCCCTGGTTCCTTTTCTTATAATCATCCCACTTCAGCCTGGGAAGTACCTAGCAGCCACTTACTCCAGGGCACTTGCTGTCTCCCCCGTAAGGGAATGATTGTGAGGGAGGGGAGGAGTGATGGGCTGTGGACAGGCCTGGCTAGAGGGCTGTGGTAGCTCTAGAATAGATAGGGACAGTGGAAGAAGCCTGGGAGTTGGCAAGTGCAGAGGGTCTGGGATTTGCATGAGCAGAAAGGGTTTCACAACAAGCAGACTGGATGGCTGTGCAGGGAGGTACCTTGGCTGAAGAATGGGGCTGGGGAGAGAGTCAGAACCCAAAAGCGTTTGGAGTATAGATATCTCTAAACTGTGTGCAAACACCACCCTGTGAAAGACACAGATCAGTAGAGAATGAGGTGGGAGAATCTAGAGTGTAGAAGTGGTGGGCCTGCCCTGAGTATCTCAGTTCTGTCGGAGAAATAAAAGGCTAGCCCGTGAGCTGGTGCTGACTGGGTAGGGTGTGGTCATACCCATGTAATAGTTGACATAAGCTGTAGAGAATGAGGCAGTGTTCAGAGGACCTCTCTTTTCCTAATGGGCTTTGGGGAAGGCTTCATATTGATGGTAGAGCTTCGGCTGGCTTGGAAGCAAGGCATTACTGACCTGGGTGTGGAGTGGGTGGGTGGGGAATTGTGTAAAGTTAAAAAAGCTGGAAAGTTCAATGTATGTTTAGGGAATGGTGAGAAATACATCTGGACAGTAGTTTATGTAGGGGTGTCCAACCTGCAACCAATGAGCCACATGCAGTTCAGGATGGCTATGAATGTGGCCCAACACAAAATTGTAAATTTACTTAAAACATTGAGATTTTTTTTGTGATTACATGTCACAATGTATTTAATGTGTGGCTCAAGGCAACTGTTCTTCTTCTAGTGTGGCCCAGAGATGCCAAAGTGTTGGACACCCCTGCATAAAAGGCTTCTGGTCTATAGAGTGAGGCATGCAAGATGGAACTTTGGAAGGCCCACTAGGTCTGGGTATATATGATGGGTTAGAGGTGATGAGGCCACATTTTAGGCCCTTTGACGGGAAGAAGCAAAGTGAAAAAGAAAGGAGGTGGCCTTATATAACCATATGCTATGGGAACAACTGAGTCAAGCTTCTGAGAATGCCTGGCTGGGTACCCCATTCTCATAACTAGCGAACAGAGAGACCACTGGGTTCCTGAGTGCCAGGTTGGATGTAAAGGAAGACAGACTTTTTTTAAGTATAAAACATGGCCTTTAGGAGACTGCTTATTAGGAAAAGAAGATTCTGGTTCAGGCTCCATGTCAGGTCAGCAGGGCAACCCACTTAGGCTCCCAATTCTTGGGTCCTGTTTTTTTCTGCTTACTCAGTCATGTGCATCGGAGGTGGGCACAGTGCCCTGGGGGGGCTTCCCCCATGACAGTGCCCTGGCCGTGGCCGTGGGGGGCGCTCACAGGGCCCTAGAGGATGGCTTCCTCCAGGGCAGTGTCCAGGGCCAGGGGCATGGCCGTGCCCACCACCGTGATAGTGCTCCTGGGGGAAGCCAAATAAACGATGTTGAGTCAGTGCCAATGTCACCCCAAGTCAACTTCCCCTCCTCTTCTCCCTTCCCTCTGTAGAGGACTCAAGATTCCTGGGCACTAGCAAGGGATCATGGTGGAGAGTTGGGAGGTAGGGACAGCAGTGGCAGCTCTTAGCTTTGGGCCTTTTGCTTTGATGAAGCCAGAGCACAGAGCAGACAAAACAGGAGGAAGCTAGATTCATTGGTCTCCATTCCTTGAGCAGCGAAATGATTTCCACTCCCTGGACCTCAGTTCATTTTATCTGTAACAAAGAAGCAGAATTATCTCATCTTCTCCCTTCCATCACCCAGGAATCCTTGTAGAGTGACTAGAGCTTTGCCATGCTGGGAACTGCAAGCTGACTGTACTTAGAAGTGAGGCGGCCACAGAAGAGCTCGCTGTGGGCCCAAGGCAAGGAAGAGACAGGAGGCAGTGTTAGCGGATGTGCGGAGCAGGGGAGGAGGAAGAAGGCAGCTGGAGGCTGGGAAGAGATCAAAGGCAAGAGGTGGCAAGGCAAGGGTGTGCATGTTCACTGTGTCGGTAGTGCATGCATATGTGTAGGTACAAGTGTGTATGCTAATTTACATACAAATAGCTATATCTGTGTACATGTGCATGGGTGGGTGCATATACATGTTTGCTGTGTACACAGATACATGCATATGGGTGCCTGTGCATGGCTGTATGTACAAGATAATGGGAGTGTGTGTGAGCCAGTGCCTGTCTCTCAATAGGTGCCAGACTCAAGAAGCCAGGAAGAATAGAAAATAAAATCAAGGCTTCGCTGCCTCAGCCAGAAGAGACCTGGAAAAAGGATGGTGTAACCTTCTGTCTTGGCTGAAAACACTTTTGAGGCCCCAAGGCCAGAGGAGTTTCTTTGCCTTTTGCCACAGGCCCAGGGAACCCCATACTCTTACACTTGACCCTCAGACTCACAATCATGTGTTACGTCAGTTTCACTTGGGTCACTGCCACTCATGTTAATTATTCATGTTGTGGGTCTACCACATGCCAGGTCATGGTACGCAGTCCCTATAGATTCTTGTCCCTGTGTAGACACCTGGCAGGGAAGAGGTCAGAGATACCACCTTTCCTGAGGTCCTGAGGGAGCAGGGGTAGGGCTATGCCCCTGCTCTAGGGACGGGATAACTTCTTAGCCTGCTTCTGCCTCCTCGGGCCTGGTAAAGTCTCGGGGGCTGGGGGTGGTCATGGGTAGGGGGCAGGCTCCAGGACTAGGGGCTTTCCTGTCACCATGTTAGAGCAGCCCCTGCACCATCCAGGCTCAGTTGCCTGGAAAGAGCCCCTTCCCCTGCCTGCCTCTCCTTCTATGACTCTTTTCTTTTTTTTATGCTGGGACCAGTTTCAGGCCTGGGAGCTGGGTCTGCCAGTGGTGGCCCACGGAGGGATTGGGGGAGCAGGGAGGGGAGCTGGCAGCCTCCCTTCTCTGGCCTAGGCAGGTCACGGGGGGCCCTGTCGTGTGGTTGGGGTCTGGGAGCAAGTCAGCCATCCAGGAAAGCAGGCTTCCTGTGGGGGTAGCCGGGAAGGCACGGAAGCGTGGAACAGGCGGGGAAGCAGCGGGAGAGAGGATGGGCTGCTGGGGCAGGGAGAGGATGTGAGGAAAGGAGAGAGACAGATGGGAAAACAGGAGAGCAGCTGAAGAGAAGGCTGTAGCCAGCAGGGGGTGGATGAGCGCTGCGGGGCTGGTGGCTGAGCCCGCTTCCTGCTCTTCATTTGGGAAGGTCTAGGATGATGGCTAGAGGTCTGGAGAACACGGCAGCAGGGAGGAAAAAGGGAAGAGGACTGGGAAACTTTCCTATCTCCTGGTCTGTGGAAGAGGAAGGGAAAAAGAAGGCAGTAGCTTTTGTCCTTTGGTTCTGCAGTGAGAGGTCTGTCCTCTCCCTGGTACTGATTTTGTGCCCGCCCCCACTTCCAAGGCTCCTCACGAGCCTGACCATCATTCCTTCCTTCGTTCACTCAACAACAGATATATGTATATTGAAAGTCAATGGAGAGTTCAGCTGTGCATTCCTGGTTGTTCAGGAGCTGGCTGAGTCCTCCTGGGTGGGGTGGAGTCGGTTAGGAAGTGTGGGTTGTGGTCCCCACCCTGTCAGCTGCCTGCCCTCCAAACCTCAGCCAAATCCTATGACACTAAGGGAGATACTCTGATTGGCAAACCCCGATTCTTCTGCTTCCACCTCCAGAAAGGCCCCATCCAGCTTTCCCATCCGCCGCTTCCCACAAATCCCACTTTTCTCAGCCCCATTTCTGCCCAGACCCTCAGCTGTTTTTTGGCTCCTGCTTATGACCTTCTGTTCCTCTCTCTTAACCTTTGCTCATATCTCCTGCCACTTGAAAATCTCTCTTGTTCAACTCTGTGCTGCCTTCCTGCAGGGAGTCTGTTTGGATTGGGCCACCCCACCTGCCTTGCCTGCCCAGTTGCAGGTCCAAGGGGGTCATTCTTCAGTAACCAATGCGAGTGGTCCTGGGTGTTCCAAAGTGCTCTCTTGGTGGGAATTGCCTACTCGATGAGACATATTCCTTGAGGGCCAGAATGGGCTTTTGTCCCTTTTGAGGGAAGCCAACCGCACAGCTACTGAGAGCCGAGTTCTGGGCCCCCCACCTAGCTGCACCTCCATAGCCTCACCCTGAGTATAACCCATAATTTCTCTGGGCCTCACATGTCCAATGGGAGAAGCACCTGTCTGCTTTACTCCTGAGAATGTTTCTTAAACTGTGCAGTGTTCTACAAAGTATAAGAGATTGTTTTCGTTTGGAACCTTATCACCC